TAATAACATACAAAATTCTCATCTCAAAGCTATTTAGACCAAAAACGACGATGAGTGAAAATGTCTATTCATGGCGGGGCTCGCCATCGTGGAAAGAGTAGGAGTCGATAAACCTCTTATAGCATAATGACAGATCCATAATGTCCTCAGGGTATATAAATTCTGTATCCTTGCCGTAACATAATCGGGTGGTTTTTTTCCGCTTGTGGGGATTCGAAGTCAGGACTGCAAGCACGAACCTGTATATAATGTACAGAGAATTTCTCAGTCCCAGATCCTAGTATTTTATGAGCAAACATGTGCTCACTCATCGTGGAACATTGAGTATTGTCGTAGCATGAGTCAAGATTAAAATTAAACGGTGATTTATGATAGGAAATGCATTGTTGATGTGTTTTCGACACATGAATAACTCTAACAATTGGTGGAAAAATTAAGTAAAATCTTGCCGTTTTTGAACCTCTAGGACGTCATTTTCACAGCAATAACTTATAACAAAAAAAACAAATACAAAAAAAATTGGACTTGGCTCGAACTTGAATCGTGCTACGATAATACGTGAGGAACATTACGCTTGGTCTTGCATTTGCTTTGTTTCTGTACTATAGTACAACTGAATTACAGTTTAATCTCTTGAAGAAGTGGTATGGAAAATTATAAATTTGCACAGGGAAATAAATTATGGTACCTCAGAAAAAGTTTTCACAACCCTAATTACGGACATTTTTTTTTCAGGATGTTTTGTTCGGTTTGCGGTGCTGCAAATATTGTAACAGCCTCTTTATTTTGTGGTTCACGTGGTGCTCGGCACTCCTCTGCAGCTGGACCCAGTACATCTTATGTTAGTGGCTCTAATAGTTTGACATTTGAAGAGTTTGTGAAACAAAGAGCAAATGCTGGAGACCAAACCTTTTTTAACTTTGCTGTGAAAAAGGCAGAGAAAGAAAAGCAAGTGGAGAAGAAACTAGGCGGAAAAAAGAAGGCTAAGGGTCGTGATCAACTAGTGCAGGTATGATCATACAGCAATGACTCGAAATGACTTTTTTAACCTGTAATTTGTAGAGATATCATTTATTTAGCAGAGACATTATTTATTAAGTGAAGTTATGCAGGCAACTGCAAACACTGGTGTGATTTCCAAATGCATGTAGCAATAAAGCCCTGTTTTGGTTACATTATTTTATCAGCTTTGTTAGAACTTCCTTGGAAAGAAGCTCTGAGAGTATTATAATTTTATTTTGCAGATAAAAGTTGGATTGGTTTACAACTACAATGGTGAGCTTAAGCAGAGAACGGGTTTATCCTTGCCAATAGAAGTCAAGAGTAATGTGTCAGACATTACCCTGAAAAGAGTTGCCTTGGATAAACATCTGGCATTCAATAAACAGCTTCCAAGGGATCATGAATTTGTTTTGTTATATCCAGACTTTTAGCAAGTGAAATACATACCCGGAACAAAGCAACCCTTTACTCTCCAACATTACAAAAAATGTCTAGGAAAACCCTATCAAAGAATAGTACTGTATCTTTGTGCTGAGGAGGATTTTTCAGGTATGTGTATTGTACATGCAGTATTTGTCAGCTGAAACAGTTATTCTGCATTATGGAAGTACTAGAGTATAAAACAAAGTGAAAAAAATTAAAGTGGTATGACAACTAAGACAAATGGGAAAAGCAGATGCATTTCTAAATGAAACTTGCAAAGCATGTAATAATGCGTGTATAGTTCTCAGGATTCACAGGCCATAAAAGTGTTTTGCTATAAAAACCTAGTTAAAAAGCAAAAAAGTCATGGACAATTCTCTCGAGTGCTGTGATGGTAAAGTAATACTGTAAAGTAATACTGTATATTGGTTCTGTTTTTCAGTCAAGTCAAAGTCCAGCATGAGTTGTTTATCCAGTTAAAAGAAAAAGAAAAATGCGAAGTTAAATGATGTCTTTTCTTTCATGTTATTGTTGAAAAGCACCTGTCTCTAATTAGAGTAATTAGACTTTAAAAATACGAGACGTAATTTACAGCTCATAGACAGACGGGAAGCATTAAGTGATGCAACTTTCACAGAATGATTGTCATCTTCTTTAAGCTGTGACTGTAAGCAGCGCCCAGAATATGTTGCACATTGTTGAAGGGAAGTCCTAGCCCTTCTTAAACCTACATTCCCCTCGATGGCCTCTCTGAATGCCATATATGATGAGTTGTTACCAAGTAACACAAAGGTAATCGAGAAGCTCAAAGCTGTTGTAAACAATGACCAAGAAAGGGATTCTCTGAAACACCTCAAGAGGTATATCAGAGGTTTGGATTAAGAAATACTAGTTCTTACGTTTTGTTAGTGAGTCTGAATTAATGTTATTTCCAGAGATTCTCGTAACATTTACACAACTCGAGAGTGTTGCTCGAAGGCCCATTGCACACACATGCAATTATATTTTGGAGATATCATCAACATACCAATCCTTCCCTGAGTTAAGGGAGGAATTCAACGGCATCCTTGCTGTGGATAACTGGGAGATTGTATCGTCTGAGCATGAAAAAATGTGGTTTTTGGTGGTATTCAATGATGACACTCGGCAGAAACGAGCGATGTCTCAAGGAGGTAATAAGCTCCATGAGTCAGTTGTTATCCTTGTGCCAGTTGAAGTAATTTACATGAAAACGACCAAGAAAGGCCGAGAATGTTGAACAGTGAAACGGATCGAAAGTAACGACGTGAAGAGTAAATTTGGCTGAAAAATTTCAAGATGTGTATAACACTAAGCAGCTCCTATAACAGTATCAAATATCATGAATTGAAATTCGACCTCAGTTAAATTCAACCCAAAGTTTTCAGCAGGGAGTGGAAATTCTGTTATCATGGACCGACACGAAGGGAACAACAGATTCTTTGAAGTGGTATCACCCGCTCTCTTGTTTCCAAACTCCATTCATTGCGCACATGCCTCAGTTTCACAGTTAACTATTTAGTAGCCAGTTTGGCAGCTGAAGCTAAAAGAATAAGAAAAAGAAAAGAATTGAAGCTTGGTAGACGCCAATCATGTTTATTTTGTTTTGCCGCCTGAAAAATAAAAAATAAGATCGTTACATCGGTTGACTCAGATAAAATCAGCCCATGGATCTTTGTTTTATTTCTGCTACATGCAGTTTTGTAATATTGAAAATATACTTCAAGTAATGGCTTTCGAGTTTTCTTTCACTTAAGTTGTTCAATGCAGTTTATGTTTGTACTCTGGTTGTGTTCGAAGCGACTCTTTCGTTCGCATGGTGGATTCATCAGGGTAATTTTATAATCCTGCTATTCACATGGAATTACGCCCTTTCGAAGAGATCAAGCTAAGATACTTCATCCTGAAAAAAAAAAGGCAATTTTCATTTCGGTGTCGAAAGATTATCTGGGATTTCTGGGGTCGTTTCATGGTTCGCTATGTCATTGGTCTTGAAAACTCGCACCCCCCAACCCTGCCCCCCTCTTTCTATTTCTCCTAGTTGACCTTGTGTTTGTAGCTCTCGCGCCCCTCAAGAAGAGCACGACTGCTAACTGAGATGATAACATTCCAACCCGTAACTGGAGTCCATTTAATCCATGGTATCAAAGTCCTGTACTGTACACTACGGCTTGGAGTTCACAGACCCAGTTGACACAGATTGTGACATGCATCTTTTAAGCCACTTTCAGGGTTAGCGCAATCTACAATCGGAAATCCCTCAATCCAGGGTATCTATGGTATCAAAGTCCTGTACTGTACCCTAACATTGAACTGCCATAGAGTTAGCGAAAAATATAGCCCAAATAAGTGCCATGTTTTGGGTTAAATCAATCTATAGCATCAAGGCTCTGTAATGTGCAATGTCATTTAAATACCACACACTGGGTTGATAAAGGGTAGGGCTGTCTTAGGTAATTTACGTTTTGAGTTAATTCAATGTATTACATCCTTGTCTTACATTAGGATGCCTTAAATTCAGTTGACACAGGGTATTAGCTATGTCTAATGTGCTACTTCTTTCGCGAGAGCAAAAGATGATCTCGCATTCCATGTTTCCGTGAACTAAATCTATTATGCGAGGGTCGCACGCAAAAAAGCAAGCGAACAAACGATTCGAAATGAGTCAGCCCCTGCAGCCTGTACACTAATACGACCACGGACCTCAGAACCCAGAAAACGAATCATGAAGAAGAACCCAAGTAACCGAACCAAGTTTGTTACACCACTACATAAAGATGTGTTGAAAACGGAAAAAAGCCGGTACGTTCCCTAAAGAGAGGGGAGACGTACTTTCACTCAATAATATAAAGACGTACCACTTTTTACGTTTACTCGGCTTCCACATCTCATTGACATCATAACCCTTCATACTCGGCGAGCACACACAAACGTTAAAGAATGTCTGAACAGTTTACGAATAAGAAACATCACCCTCAGTGCATTAGTCACTTTGGGAATAATTTGCGTTACCTCCAACTCTTCGATTGCGTATGCTTAGTATGCAGGGAAATTAACTAGAAGCGAAAGGGGCAGTGAATTTAATGACCTAGATTTGATTAATAAAAACTATAAGGAAAGAAATCGCCCAGTTTTGCAGTCTCATTTCCCGTTCATACATCGGACCATTCTCACGGCCACGATAGTCTACCGTGGCGGTTGCCGTTCCACCCTTTCTCGACTCATTCTTAAGCTGTAATACTACGCATAACAAGCTATTAATACACGGTAGAGTAAGAGCACAATTAAAAACACGGTAAAGTGAGACCACAATTCTAGACTAGGAAGCAAGGAAGATATTTCTGTGGCCCCATTGCTATAAAACAAACCCACCATTAACGTAGACACGATAAGTAACGATTTTCTTATTCAGAAAATTCAGTAACCTCCCAGCCTCTAGGGAGTTCTGTATTTTTCACAAATACTCTTGAAGAGTTCATCGCAGCTTTTTCTATGAGCTGTAAATGAACATTTATTTGTCATAAATTTTGATTAAAAAAAAAACCATCAAAAACTTTCTCATAACAAATATAGTAATTTACTTTGGTTATTTAGTTAATCTCTAATTTGAAAAATATACTGAAATTTGTTCCTCTAGATTTACTTCACAAAGAAAACAGTTGGAGGAAGACCACTTGTAACAGTTTGTTTTTTAGCTTACACCCACAATCTTCAGGTCTTAAAAAGCAAAACAACTTTATTTGAGTTAACTTAAAAAATCAACTGACGTCTTAGTGAAGCGTCCTCGTGAAAAAAGCACTTGAAAAAGATACTACGAGAATTCATTCCGTCAATTCCAACTTTTTCTGCCCCTAAAGTATTTTTTAGCTTCATGCAAGTTCTTTTTCTGTGAGGGTTCGGGCGCCGACCTCTTTGGTGGTGGGCTAACTTCCCTGGTTGCTCTTCCTCTTAGAGCGCTGACATCCGGAGTCATTGCATGCGCTGAGCGTTTACGAACTCCTCTGTTAGAGTTCTTGAACAGATCAGGTGGGGCTTCAATTACTTGAGGACGCATTGCAGGAGGATGCCGTTGCCGCACTGCCTCTGCTACTTGTTCAGCGCTTCGCACAGAGGTACGTTTTTCATCGAGAGAGAGAGTACGGCTAAGGCCGGATGAATTTAAAGGGTTTGACAATCGTGATGCTCCTGGCACCATTGAAAGAGTAAAAGGGCCATTTGAAAGCCCTGACGCACTAGGGAAAGATAACGCGTTTGAAGCTTTAGCTGTAGACCCTTGAGGTCTTTTTGAATGACCGTTACCTTCTGATCCAATTTTCAAGGACGAAGGTTCAGAGCTTTGCCTCAACGTTAAAGGTTTTGATGACCATGACGTATTGGAACGAGATGATGAACCACTGGCCGTGCCAAGTTCCTTGTGGACATATGCGTTGTCTAGCGGAATTGATGAAGTCGAGAGCAAGGGAGATGCACTGGAAGGCCCAGATGATACCAAAGAGAACCCAGAGGACGTGGGTTGCGAGACACTTAATGACTCAGTTAGAGCCTGGTCGACGGGCGACCCAGTATCAACTGGTGACCACACACGCTGGGCCGGTGAAGACCTTGCAGTTGCTTCTTTTTCTTGTCGATACAGCTTGCAAAAATAACCCCTTTTATGTGACCTATTATTTTGGATGACATTATGCAGCATAGGATTGGGCGTGTCACTTTCAAGTGAGTTATACGAATCAATTTCCCCGGAATCAGAATTTGAATCCATGAACGTAGAAGTAGAGGCAGTTTCAACAAAATCAGTAGCTCTAACATCTGGCCCATTATCACTTTTTTTCGGCTTCATCTGCTTTCCATGTACACTACCCTCAGAGGAATGACGGGGCGATTGCTTCTCGATGGCAATGTTTCGAGAAACATTATTTATCCCTTTATAAGCAGGGCCCTTAAAAGTCGCTTTGTCCTCGTTTGAAACTCCATTTTCAACTGACGGACTTTTAGTGGAATGTGATCGATATGCGACTTTGTCATCATCTGATTTCTTTGGGCTTCGCCCTTCTGATCTTTTCTGGTATGCATTCCCTTCCCGATGCAATGATTGACGTGAAGAATGCTTTGACTCCTTTTCGACTGACTGATTTCCCACATGATCTTCAGATCTGGGGAGTTGTTTACAATTATTAGTAGATAATTGTTGATGACGATTTCTGGAGTGAGTTCTTTCCTCACCACCATTCCCTTCCCTACTCATGCTCTTAGGATTGACAATTTCACTTCTTCTTGTAGAATGACTGTTCAAGGATGGCTCACTTCTAGTGGAGTTCGCATTAATGCCAGTTGCCTCTCGGAGTTTGGTTTCTAAAGAGTTAACCGATTTTTCCGCCTGACGCCTCCCATTTCTTTGACCTGGTGCTTCCATCCCAACACTAAATTCTTGTTGCCTACCAGACACGTTCCCGGGCGCATGCTCAGGGTCCACTGCTTGATCACTAATGCTGGAACGGTGATAACCAATCCTTCTCGAAGACGGGTTAGGCTTCTTAGCCCGTGGGTCTTTGGCAGGTGAATGATCTATCTTGACTGATTCAATGGAAAGAATCGACTGTATCTCTGATGAAGATTTAAGTGGAAAGAAACATCCTCTCTTTTCCGCATTTTCTATCAAAGCTCTCCAATCTGGGGATCCTCCCTGATAAAATACGAAGGAAGGACGTAGCAGTTATTACTAAAGTTGTTTTTGGAATCAGAGAATGTCGGCTATGAGGATAAAACAATAATTGCGTATATTTCCCACCTTCAGAGTTTCCATATGACCAAAAACATAAAGGGCATGTCGAGCCCTTGTTAAGGCTACATTCATTCGTTGTCTGTCGGTAAGAAATCTGCGAAAGAGAAGCATAATAAATCGGGCAGGAACGTCAACTAGCATCCTTCCAACATGCAGCAATTCGACGTTTTTAGAAAGACACGACATAGTCAGCCAATGGAACTTATATTAATCAAATGACACTGTATGAGTCACAAGTTTAAGGGGCCCAAAATCTATCGGCTTACACAAGGTGTTGTAATGGCCGACTAGGAAAGGTTTTCAGGTAATGATAACCGTAAACAAACGCACCCTATGGAACCACGACACAGCTGCGCTCGAACACAACTCAAAATGATGACATCCTTCTCTCTTCCCTGGAAATGGAAAAAAAAAGCAACAGTGTACTTCACATTCTACAGGAGCTGTATAGAGTGGAACGCAGGAGCAATTTCAATGGTCGAAGAGTTTCAACAAACCTGAAAGCCATCCACAGTGTTGACCTCAATCAAAGCACTTCTTGAAGAAAGATCCCTGCAAAACATGGACAACAGGGTTTCTACAAAATGGATAAGCATAAGCAAATGCCTCTTGTAGAATCTTAAGTTCTGAGCCAAAGCTCTCAGCAGAAGTCTATGGGCTAGCTGTGTCTTCAAGATAGCCAAATCATGATTACAATGTTTCGCCAAATAGAATACCGACTTTAGATAAGAGAAAACTGCTTCTTAAGTAAAGCAAGTCGGAGACACTCTAACCAAATGGTAAGTCCCCTAGGATACGGATCAAAAGGTTAATGAGCAGTTAGAGTTGCGCGCAGTTGCTACATATAAAACTAATTCAAGCCACAGCTAAAACAACTGTGGTTCAGGACTTCCTTTCTTGCCTTTTGTCACAAACAATTTCAATTCCGTTGAAGCAACGTCTTGCTTCACTTCAGCTAAAGTAAGGGGTTATACCATCTAACCGATGTTCACCAATGAAGACTTAACATACACATTATTCACCTAAGTTTCCCTTGGATCTCCACTTTCTGTTTCCGATATGGTGTGATAATGCCAATGCTTTCAGAGTTTAAAATATTTGTCAAATCGTAGCACAAATTTACAATGATATCAGCCTCGACGGGATTCCACAAAGCGCTGAAAAAAAGGGGACTCAGAACAATCAGTGGACTATACTACTTTAATACTGTACCCTAATCTAAGTTCGTTTCCTAATGCCTAATCGGTTACTGAACCATTTATTAGAATAAAGATTATTTAGATAACATAATACATAGATGTATGACACAACAAGATGATACTACATATGTAAATAAATTGTACCCTATGAAAACTGCTCTAGATTGATGCGTTAAATTAAGCAAAAAATAGTTTAGGCAAGGCTAAAACCAAGACAATGCAGCGCTTTCATCGATATAGAGTTGGACACTCCCAGGAGGCCTGCAGGAAAAAGCGATGCGTCGCTCAATTTGCGTTGCTACGGTGTATCCTATCCCTTTTTCCCTTTCACACTTAGGGTAACTAATTATTCCCCTCATAGGTTGGACGGTGTTGTGTTAACAGCACCTGGAAGTGAGCTGTGGCTCGGTCGAAACTCACGAGAATTCGAACCAAAGAGGTTTGAACACTTAAATTAAAACAATTTAGTGATTAGGACGATCTATGTACAATTAATATTTGCTAGTTTGCTGATTTGTGATATCATTAGTTTCACTCACAAGAATTCAAACCAAAAAGATTTAAACACTTAAAATAAACAATTAAAGTGGTTGAAACGACTCATATACAATAATTGTTTGCAAGTTTGCTGATTGGTAATATCCTTAGTTTCTCGAAACTCACAAGAATTCGAACCAAAAAGGTTTCAGCACTAAGTTAACACATTTTAAGTTGTTGAGAAAATCTAAGTACAATAGATGTTGCTAGTTGGCAAGGCTTCTAAAGATAACACCAACATTGCTTCACCATCCATCTTGCCAAAATGGTTGCATTTGCTCACCCTCTATCCTGGCATATCTCTCTTCCATTAACAACGTCAAAGAGTGCATAGTGCTTCACCAGAGGAAACTGTCTCTGCTCTACTGATCTAGAGTGTAAAATACGCACATTCAAGACGGATATTACAAGTGTTTGTTTCGGGCTTATAAAAAAGCAGATGATCCCAGATATGAACCTAACGGCGACTTTATCTTATTCCTTTCTTGAACCATCGGAACAGGGGGTCATTCAGAGAAAGTCCGTCTGTCAATCAGTCAGTCTGTCCGTCAAACTTGTTTTGGAGTCACGCATAAGCAATTCATCACAAAGTGGACCTAGCAGCGACCTATCCTCATCACCCTGTCACTTTGTCCGTCCGTCCGTTCATGAGTAAATAAGTCAGTCAGTCAATTAGCGGCATGGGACACCGATGGGTCAAATGAGAGCAAAGAAAGGAAGGTGAATGCTCAAAAATGAAACGATAATAAAGAACAACAGAGCACTTCTATATAAAATTGAGAAACAATATCAAACCTATGGCTTCTCAGGAAGTTATTGTACACATGTGAAGAAGGGAAAGCTACAATCTCTGGATGCATCCGGTACTGTTCTTCCAACATCAGTACTGGCTTCTCCATTTCTACAAACATCAACAAACGTTGAAGGGGCAACATGAGAAACAAGGCCATCTAATTTAGACTATTCGTTCAGGAGTCAGATGTAAGGAAGACTAGCGGGTAAAATGAAGATACTTTCTCGTAATACGCACTGCATTGGTGGACAGTATTGCTTGAAAAATGCTGGGCTAAAAGAATCAATGGAGTTGCAAATATATATTGCCTCGACCCTATTCATGCCAGTTTATCACCTTTGGAGGTTTTATAAGGATAAAAGATAAAACAAATCGAATAGTGAATGCTTGGTTTCATGAGGATAGAATATATAATACATCGAATGATGAAGGCTTGCAGAAGAGTGAGAAAGAAGGCAAATTAAGAGTGCTTAGAGAGGTAGAAATCGCTTAAAATTGCACGTTTACAGCTCTACGTAACTTGCATACTAGTTGTTAGTCAAACCTCTCTTTAAAATATCAAAGCACATGCATATAAGTCTTTGTAAACTTAAGTGACAATACAGCTAGTCCTCAATTGGAATATTGATTGGTTTGCATAAGGCTACTACACAATGGTAAGATTCTGCTTGGAATTCGATACAGAGGCATCATTACTGATTCAGAAGCTCACAGGCTGAATTTGGAGGCAATCATCAGGTCATACCACAGGTTTTGGGGACCCAAAAGGAGGGTGCTTGTTCATTACAATGTGTTATAATTCTATTTCATGTTTACAGCGCTACGTTTTAAATACTTCCCAAGGACACAAACGGTACACTTGTGCCGATGCCCTGTAAGTCCATTAAACGCTATCACACTTCATAGGTTCAATAAGAAGAGAAATATGAGTAAAGGAAACGAACATTTACTGTTTAGATAGCATCGCCCTTGCAGAAACAGTAAAGAGCGGCATTTGAAGACACAAGGACAATGCAGAGTTTTAGCGAAACGTAAAGCACTGGGTTACCTTTGGATAGCGTGTGGTACTGACTTCTGCAGCAGAGCACTACTCCTTGGAGGCTTTACTAAATTTTGTAGCCCAGTGCAACTTACGTTAACACCTACTAGTACTTAACAAGGAAATGGGAATATTTTTCATAGTCTGTTGCTTTCACTGGAATCGTGCCACCTCATAACAACACACCACTAGAATTCTAGTCCAAGATAAATGATTGGCGTCACGCCCATAATCCCAGTTTAATGAAGAAAAAAGTGTTTGTGCGGTATATGCAGCTATTTCCTTCTTAATAACCGAACTCTTCTACGAGAGATGCGAAGACAAACGAGAGCAAGGCCTGGTAAAGTGAGATAAGTAAAAGAAGCCCACTTCCAAGTGTTAGAGATGTGAAAAAAAAGAAGAAATAATAAGGAATGAAATACTGAAGGTTTCGCCCCTAATTCCTTTTTGCATCGCCCGAGTTGCCCCAGTAACTTGACTATGAAAATGGCAAAATCATAGCTTGAAACCGGCAGACAATCGCCCTCAAAGTCAAGCTTAGTTACAAATTGAGAGTTTTGGGACCAGCCTGATAAATTGGCCACGTTCTGAACTAATTTTTTTATTTTTCTTTCACTGATGCCTAGTGTGAAAGCGATATGATGGCTTGTTGACAGTGTAGATGATAAGAGAGCGTATACTTGTATTCGTCGACCCTTCTTTACTCTTCACAGTTACATCATTATCCAGCAACTCGTCCGGATCTAGCACTTGAGGTTAAATTGAAGACACCCGGGAGGTTTTTGATACTTTTGGGATTTTCAGTCAGTCCATGTTGCGGGCTTAGATGATGCAATGAATTGAGTTTAATAAAGAAGGGGCGAGTTGAAACGAGGCAAACAGGATCCAAGGATTGTTATGGTTAGGAAATTGAATAATCTCCTACCACTAGAAAAAGAGACAGAGAGAAAAGATATCTTAGGGGGAGAGACGTTTCCAACCTAAAGGACTGAAATTGTTTCTCAGTCCTACACCGGATAGGTGCACCAGAGTCTGATACACTTATCATTAGGGAGCTGTCTTTCCCACTTCTTCATTTCAACGTGAATAAAACGAGTAATGACTAAATTGGGTGAAGGGTGATTCCGATATCCACCCTAGAAAAGTTAGGAGAGAAGTGACTTTCAAACGTTATATCCCTGATATTCATCCAGAACACTCCCCAAACGATACGGCCCACTTATCCCCAACTTGAACGCGCTTTATCGCTTTGACCATTACTTTTAAGATTTTTAAAACAATATAACAAACCTAAGCAGCACGTCTCCCCTACCCCCCCTCCCATTCATGGTTCCCTATCTCTTGCGACTATCTCTGTGTACCCACCCCTTCTGTCAAAATTTCTTGCCAGCCCCTTTCACCTTCTATACATAAATTGAGCAGCCATCTCACATGACGAGACGCACCAAATTAACAAACTATACAACTCACGCTTCTTTTAATATGAGCGTGTTGATGTTTGGATTCCAAATACCATGACCAATCCTTGCCGTTTTTCCTTGATATGGATATGTAGACACTTTAAACCCTTTTCCCAATGATTTTGTATTCCTTAAACAATAGCTTCCTTGTACACAGTTTCGTATCTTTTCTTGTTTGTTAATGTATCAGCACGATTGTCCACAACGTCTTTTAAAATATGCTCTTGTCCACCTCTTGCTTCTGTGTATCCCTGAGATAGAGCCCATTCTCCGTTGATCTCGACGCACAAAGAAAAATTCCAAGAGCAAAGAAATATCCCCATACATTCAACAATTCCGCGCTGCTAAGCTTTTTTTTAATCGCAATTCGAACTATCCGAAAAACATGAAAATATCACGATTGAAAACCATATGACAACTACAGGAGAGTTGCCACGATCGCGGTCGTTGCTGATACCTTTCGAAGGTACTGTGAAACATCTTTGTAGCACACTGCCCCAAAAGCTTGAGATCTTGACTAGTAAAATCATGACAAGGGGTTACCCTGCCGGGCAACAGCATCAGTATTTTAAAATTTCTTTCTTGTCAACGTAGAAGAGATGAAAGATTCCCAACAATCATTAGACTATTTCCCATAAGCCTGTTTGCTTTGCTTCATTTTCAAGATAAATATCCTCCATTTTGGACTCTATCGTAGACCTGTTACGTATCACGAGAAGACGCGAAACTTCGCTTCTTTAAACGGCTCACCACCGTGATGATAGACTTTTCAAAATTAAAAAAAATTACAGCTGATGGTAAATAGCGATGTTCTTTTGATTATCAGACAAGAACATGTTAAACAGTTATTCCACTGCTATTTGTCAATTTCCCCACTTTTTAAGCGCAAAGATACAAACGTGGTGCAGGTATTTAAATACGCTCCTCTTGTAAATCCCTGTGTTACTGAAACCTTCCCCAGTTATTACCTCAACATTTGACCCAGAGTTTTACAGCCCCAGATGTGAAAATTTATCAAGCGGTCTGCTGTATAAAGGCTACATTGTTTTAATGGTCGGGTCTGTTTTTCATGCTCAGTAAAGCCCAATGGGGCTGGACATTGTGCTAGTATAAAAGCCACATACATTGTGTACAAAAAGGGCAATAATTATCAAGTAATGAGAATCGAGTCATACAATTACATTTTAAAAATGTGCCTTTTCTTACTTGAGACCACACGCAAATCACAAGTTATAGAGGAAGATGATACGAAAGCCTATAGGTGAACTTACCTTCTTTATGATATCTGAAGAATCTGTAAAGTCTTTCAAACATGGATCTTGCAAATAACTTCTCCTTTGCTCTCTAAGAACGTTAGGAGAAGATAAGGTTATCACTAGGAGAAGGAAAGGTTATCACGTTTTCGTCTGGCTTCAAAACGTTCTTTAAAATTGAAGCTCATCCCATTCTTATTCAAATTATGGATATGCTATGCTTAGCGGAAGCGCCAGAAACAAATCAGGAAAAAACAAAATTAAAATGTGCCAGAGGTCAATCACTAACTGAGAGCACGAATGAGTTGCCTCCAATCATATGTAAAACAGGAACAAATGTAACAAAAGTCGATTTGTTGGTATGGCCAAAAAAGATGGATCGCAAAACCATAAAGGAGAATAAGACTGGAAAACTAGGGGATCGTTGACTGAAGCTAAACAAATCCGTTTAAGGAAGGCACAAAAGAAAGGAAGTAGTAAAGATTTGTCAACTTTTTTTTTGACATACCCCAGACAGTACAGTGCAAGGCAACTGCTCAGGATCGCCGACAAGAACCACTTTAGACGCCTGGAAGCAGAGTGGTATCAGTAAATCCAGTTCATTGGACTGACAGGCCTGTAAAAAGTTACATCACTCACTTCACTGTATGTTTTTAGAGGAATTGATTAAATTGAGTGTTAGTCGAGAGTGCTTTGGTTCTGTTTTAACTTCGGTTTAACAAATCAACAATAGTTTAGCGTGGTCTGTACTCTAATCGACAACGATATTCATCATAACAGTGGTCACAATATTGTGGACTCAAGAGGCGCAGTAATGGCAATAATTTCGCGATCTAATTGTTGCCTCGAGTTTTCACCCCCTCCTTTTAAAAGTATCTCCTGTTGTAACAGATAATTTCCATCGTTTTTTATTTTTTATAGTGCGGCACTCAGTCGAAAATCGCTCAAACAAAGAAATACCAACTGAGTACATGAAAGACTAGATTTAAGTTTCAAAATCAAAATGTTCTATCTAGAGCTTAAAAAAAAGCAACGTCATATTCAGCACCATTTTGGTCATGAAATATTTGAGAATGAAATCTTATCCCATAGACGTAAGATATAGTATCTCTCTTGGAGTTCTCTTACCTCATCCACAATAACGCAGGTGAAATGAGGATAGATACGCCTGCAAAAGGGAAGAAACATTAAATATAGATATAAAAACTAACAAGTAATATTGTGACCGTTGAAGCAGATCAGTCCTAACCGTCCTTCCAGGTCCTGCTTTAAGCTGGTACTACCAGCCCCACTGAGAGTTGTACAGATGATATCAGCACGATAGAGGATCTCCTTTCTTATACTTGATTCTTTTCTACGTTTGTTGGCTTGCTCTGCCCTTTGTTCCCGGAATTTCTTTTGCAGGGTTCGTACTGCGTCCATAAGATTTAACTTCTCCTTTTCCAATTTCTCCAGTTGCTGCTCGCAAATCAATAAAAAGAAAGGAAATAAGTTTAGAAGTTTAAATACCTCTCTACGATTTCTACCAGTTCTCAATTAATGTTGATAGTGATATAAACTGGGTTTTAGCTTTACACCTTTTCTACAATACAACAAGTACAACAACAAACCAACGAAAACAAACAAAAACACAACACAAGGCTGAGATGTGTACTTCGTGTGATGTGTGAGGTGAACTTTTTAACTTCGTTATCTTGCGTTCCAATTTCTTCTCTCTATCGTCAATGACTGCCAGACTTTCTTTGGTTTTGTTTAATCTGTCCTCCGTTTCTGAAGATGACTGATCGACCACGAGCTTTGTCATACTGTCTAATGAGAACTTCAAAACCCCCGGGTGGATATATGATTTACGGCCCACTCGCACCAGACACAAATCTCCACAGTTGTTAGAGACTGCTTGAAAAGAGAAAACGAAAATAATATTCAAATGCCTCAATAAGTCGCGTCGTACAGAAAAGTACATCATGTTGAATACCTCTACGGCTGCCACAATAAAAGAATGACGCTTAAGATATATAAACGGATCAAACCGGTTTCTTCTTTCATATGCTCCTCTTTATGCGTCTTCCTTCAAATGTCAACATATTCAATTGCTAATACGGTAACTGGTTTGAACCCAAGAGTAAAATTAGTCGCATTCCTCAATTCTATCGATACCATCCAAAACTTTTGCACGAAAACTTGGAAAGCAAGCACCTCGATCGTAATCAACTGCATTAAATGTGCAAGGTAAGAGACAAGACAAACAAACAAAGGGCAAGTGATTTACATCAGAAAGCTTACTTTTGTAGCTGGAGTAACCTTCACATTTCACTAACCTCTCTTGACATCATCTTGACGGTTACATCGCCTGTTTTTCTCCTTATTGTGACGATTTTGAAGTCGAATCTGAGCTTTTGCAAACCGACCAATCAACTCATCAATGGCAGCATTAGATGGGGCACACAAGAGAATTCTCACTTTGTTTCGAACACTTCCATTTGATGAGGTAGCTGTGGTCTGTCCTGGAAATTCTTGACCCCGCTACGAAAAAAAAAACAAACAAACAAACAAAGCTCATGTGGCTCACAGAAGTTCAAAATTTAGGGCGGCGCAGCTCGGTACCATAACGTTTAACGTGTAAAACACAGTTCAAAAGTCGAGTCTTACTTCATTTTTGCCTGTTTTTCACGTAAAGAGCAATAAGGTAATAACAAGTTGTTGTAAGTAAGAATAGACGTGGAACTCCAGACGTTAGGCAAAAAACTTACATTAAGTATCTCCTTGACAAGACCCACAATCGTGTACGATTTTCCTGTCCCCGGAGGGCCTTGAACGAGACAAATACGTGGTATAGGATAGGGATTATGGACAGCATTGGCCGCAGTTGAGATGACCCTTTCTTGTGATTCGTTGTATTCCTTGTAAAGATGAATAGTTCATTCAAGGTAAGCATTAAGATGTTTCACGATTAATATAATATCAATCCTTGCCATTTTTTTCCTATGTAGATGGCGGAGATCGTTTAGCAATGTTGCACAATGGCAATTGAACTACCTTCGTTTGTCTTTTTCTTGCCAACATGAAGAATTCATTAGGAAAGTGATCTACCGGCACCAAAAAAAAACCAAAACAAACAAAAAAGTAAAAAATAGGGTGATCGTGCAACCAATTGCTATGTTCTCAGACCAAATTAGAAAAGTGGCTATCACCGTTCATTACACAGCGTGGCATACACTTGTTAAGAGTGCTTCATATCAGTAAGGATGCGCGATGAAAAATTGGCATGAACATCCAAGAGTAGTTACCACACACCTGCGCGCGGACGTAACCTATTCACCACGTTGCACGCACCGCGATGTTACTCGTGTTTCGGTACCCCACCCGTTGGCTTGGTAAAAACGATCATGAACCCAATGTGAAAATATTTCGTATGCTGTCGAACGCGTTTTCGAGATTTCTGCATTTTGTGGAATAAGTAGTACGATGTACGCCGTTATACTTAGGGTTAGGAAAATTAAGGGGGCTACGTTTTACTGCAAGAACAGGGGAACACTGGAAAACGACTAGGGACACAATTTCGCAAAACCAAGGAAAAAGGTGACGCCAGAACGCTAGCTACTTCCCCGTTACTTGTAGTACCTGAGCGACATGGGGTATTGTACGATAATCATCGGAGCAGAAATAAATTGCTCTCCGCGGTCTAAGAATGTCGTTGGCCAATAGGCTCTTGCTAAATTGCATTAACGCAGACCACTGCCTCAGTGCTGTCAACAGGGACGTCACAACCTGTACTTGAAGGCGACAGTTCCTTGCAGGTCGGAAGTTTGACGCAGTTTTAATGGTCAAGTTCAGATCAAACGTCGCCACAACAGCTTCTACAGAACAAACGCTTAAAGGTAAAAAACTTTTAAAGTCACAGACTTAGACAAATCATCCTGACAGAACAAATATTAATTTGTCACACAATGTGAAATAAACCTAACAGAAAACTATGCCGAGTTTTTAATTGGTACTTCTTCGATTCCACTGGACTCTAACAATTCCAAGACCTAAAAATCAATTCTTCGCACAGTATCCTTTTCATTTCTTACCTTTTCAGGTCTGAGACTTTCATGTCAATATAAAGAATAATACCGAACGAAAACTTTTCGTTCCTCCCATTACCTATCCTCTTGGTTTCAAGCCTGGAAGTAAAGGGGTCACGACTGTTCTTAAGCCAAGCTAATATTTGGTTGGCAAGAAACAAAAAAGTACAAAGGAAACAAAGTTCGTCTGTTAACCTCCTCAAACAATAACTTCCCGACTCGTACACATCACTGAGGTTGAAAAGTAAACATCATTTCAAGATAACATTTTATGGGAAGGAAACCATACCTTCCTCTCCACCACTAATTCCCAGACTACCCCGTCGTGACAGCTTAGCTCTTTGAAGAACTGACTTCTCCACCAATCCGAAAACTGCTGAGTTATTATCACTCCCATCTAAAAAAAACAAAACAAAGCCAAACAAAATAATGCTAATAATAATAAAGTAAAATACAGCCATTATAAGAGTTTTTGGAGCTTTTAATGACTCTATGTCACATTTCTCAAATTTCATTTTAAAGTACTTCTAATGGTCAACTGCCACTGGAATTTCATTTTCTGCTCTCTTCTAACAAAATCATTAATGATTTTAAGATAACTTTATTCAGCCTTTCTCAAATTATCAATTTTAAGGTAGATCTATTGGCGACCTTTCATGATACTTTCATCGTTAGCTTCCTTTTGACAAAAAACAAACAAACAAATGAAAAAGAACAATCTCGCACAAAAAATCATAACCAAAAAAAACGAAACAAAAACTCTAGGTGCGATTTCCAAAAAAATTTTCATGTGCTATTAAATACAAACACACTATAGTAATCCCATCAGTCGCTACCACAGTTGGTTGGAGGAACCGTTGGCAATTTCTTATGATAATCGCGAAAATTGAAACACACTTCATTTGAGTGTGATGTGGTTCAACGTTTTCCCCGGTTTGGGCGAATAAATAAAGAATGGTATTTTTTTCATGTTGTCACGAACGTGGGACAAAGAAAAAATTTTCAGTCCTCACGAAGAATCGAACCTCAGACCTTCGCATTCCGTACTAAGATGCTCTGTCACTGAGCCACAGAAACTCTATGGTAAGCAAGGCCCACTGCCATCAAAGACTATATCATACACCTTATATCACCATTATAGATCCATTATGTTAGTAAATCTTCCTATTAAAATTGAGCCGCATACTTTCCTTTTCCCCGCAGCCTTCACTAGGCATCAGTGAAGTGAGCAAGGCCGTTGCATGATCGAGCTAAAAAATATCCCATCTTTCATATCAAATCCTGATGATAAATCAAAATTGGAGCCATAGAGAAAATTTAATCACATCAGACGTATCTTATTCACCTCTTCCATCAGCTGCAGAGCGCGTAACAAGAACCAAATCACTTTCCATCGGGAACAAAGCCCCTTTTTGTTGATGTTCGTTAATAACACCACGGCAAGGAATGATCCAGAAACTATTGGCGTTACTTCCATCGAGAACATTCATGGTAACACACTTCCTGTTCACATCCTTACTACCCCAGGAACCAAGAGCCTAAAATGAAGAATTGAGAGTTATTACAAGTAGTTTGATCGAGGTAAACGTCACAAACCGATCATCGTCACGTGTAGAGCTAAAAAGAAAATGAATTAGACAACCAATTGTATCTTAAGTTTGCATTAACAAACGACAGGCCTTTAGTTACGAAAACACTAGCATTCGAATATTTAAAAAGTAAGTTTAGTAGAGTTCCCAAAGTACTGCCCGCACTATTTTACGAAATGCAATATCTACGGCGTGCCAAAGAGCAGGAAAATCAAAAAAGCAGTTGATAACGAAAAAAATATTAATAATCAAGTTGCAGTCTTCCTAGGACGGGAGCAGATTACTTTTCATAACTACCCGCCGTTTACCATTCTGCCCGTCCTTTAAATCTAAACGGCTACATAGAAACCATAATATGCTTTTACTCTAGTACCTGTTGCCAAATTTCCATGAAGAGCAAGGGCTTGAATATTTTGTAATATTCGTCCATAGAGTTGAAGCTTTCCGGTACACGATCTGCAACATAATTTCGCGGCAAAGTGGTGGATCTACCATTTCTCAATGACTCAAAAAAGTGATCCACCCTCCAGGTTAGGATCTCGCGGAAAAAGTCATCCTCTGAAAGAACTCTAGTCGGCTTTGTTATGGCCGCCTGAGGAGACGCTAGCTTACTCGAGCTTGCAATTCCACCAGAAGAGTTTGTGACCGCATCAGACGAACGTATGTCAGGTGCAAATGTTACATGTTTCTTAGGTTTTACACTTTTGACTTCTTCATCTGGCAGAAAGTTATCATTTAAGTCTGGATTTTGCACAGGTTCGTCCAACGGGATATCTCCAACATTAACATCTTCATCTGACAACGAAAGGTCATCTTCCGTCTGATTTGTGGTTTGCGTGCCGTATACATCAACAAGATCTTCTTCTATGCTTGCGAGGGCATTATCTTGAGAATTCAGCAAAAGTTCATTGTAATTGCAGCAGTGACCCCAAAAATTCATATCATCGTCGAAACGAGTATCATTCTGAAGCTGTTTGCTAATGTCAGAGAGAGAAAGTGTCTTTTCTTCCCCTTGTTCCAAAGGTTCAGGTTTGACTGTAGAAAGAACTGGTTGGGCGTTTTGCTCCGAATCTATACAACCAGCCAAGATAAAATCACTTCTTCCAATTTCAGCGTCAGTTGCGTGGTCAAATGAAGAGGTGTTACGAACGTTTTCTGGCTGCTCTTTCTTAACAAGACTACAGTCAATGTCACGTACTACTGGGCTTGCAGCCTCCACATTTATGGCTTCATCCTCCGAAATGCGGTTCACTTCAGTTTTGACCATCACACCAGCAAAAGGATGATGTGCTGCGAGGGGCTCATCATCCAGGTCATCGTTTGAATCAGCGGATTCCGTTTTTATTGTTATACTGGTATAATTTGTTGGAATTCGTGACTCTGACTTTCTTACGCTTTGAGAAGAAAAAACATCCCTTTCGGTTGTTTTTCTCCTCTTCATTTTATCAATGTTGTCGCCTGCGACGGTCTTCCGACAGGAGGCACCTTCACCATCCATCTCTCTGTCTTCACTTTTCACCTTAACTTTACGGCCTTTGTCATCACTTTCGAAAACAGAACGAAGGAGCTCTTCGTCGGAACTACTCATCTTGCTATCACTATCAACAGCTTCCTTTGTTGACAAATTTTTCGACCGAGTCGTTCCTGAATTTGGCGATGGATCTACTTCATCCATGAGTTTATTGAGAGCAATGTCGTCGTCTTGAAGGCTCTCGCAGTTCAAGTAATCGTCTAAAAATCTAAGATGCTCTTGTCTCGAGGAAACGGGCTTTGTTTGATTGGATGTATCTGGTGAGGATTCTTCGTCATCCGACAGAACAATTGCGTCTTCTTTCCACGCACCTTGATTAAACAAGCAAATCAAATCGCGTCTAAAGTACTGACGAGAAGAATAATCTTGTAAAACTGTACAGCCTACACCAAATTCAACTGGAATTTCTCTGGGTGAAATATAGGAGACCCTCCTTAAAACAAGCCCCGCAAGTGACAAAAACAATGGTTATAATGCCAGCAATTGAAATATGAATTTTACTCCGAGGGTACAATCTATATGTTGTAAGGGTAGCTCAACTCTGGCCTGGCTCAACATTCTGGTTCACTTTCAATTTTTCCTTTTTTTTCATTCCCGTAGTCAAGTGTGGTCCACGTCTTTATCCATAGTTCACATACATGATTTTCATATATTCATAGTCAAAATTCAAAGGGGAAGCTAATTGGTCAGACACATGCTCCGGAATAAGGGTATAAATTTCACTAATGAAAAATACTTTTTCTCAATGTTTTTTAAAAAAAAGAAGTATAAACTCTTGAAAACTATGGATGTACCAACGTACCAGAATTCATAAGGATGGGAGTCTGAGAAACTTTCTTTATCCTGCCAGCTGATTTCCTGGCTCTATTTCTTCGATGCTTTACAGTTGTTTGAAGAGCCGTGTGCTGGACGCTTTTTTCAGCTTTTACAGGGCCCAAGGACGCTCCGCAGTCAACTAGAGGAACTTTGGCTGTCATAAGTTCAAAACCCAACTCTGGAGACATTTTAGACCTGGAAAACAATAGTACATTATCTTTCATGAGCAATAGTACCTGCCAACGACCCACAACGCATCAAATGTTTGTCTGTTTGTTTTCACTTTCTCATGACACATTTTTGTGTGATATTTGAAACCAACTTGCAATGGACTGTTGAAAATGAAGTAATTTACTAGTTTTGCTTTGCTTTGCTTATGTCAAACTCGTGCCATTTTCTAAACCAGTCTAAAGACAATCGCGACTGAGTCATTCGCATTTCCCCGTGCTTCTGGCAGTCTGCTGTAGTAACTTTGAGTTCTCATACCCTTATTCGTTTTCCTTGGTCCCAACTGGTCGTTAAGATTATTTTGGTTCAGGATGTACAAAATCAATTGAAAGTACTCTGTTTTTTTTAATAACCAAAACAACTGATTATGAATTGTTTTGGGAAGTTTTGGCAATGATATGAAGGAAGAGCAAACAATACATTTCAGAATCATTTTTTTCAAAACACTGATAAGGGGTGTCCCGTCACAGCACAAGACATCGTAACCGTGTTTGCTTGTACGAACAGTAGTTGCAATGACCTAGCCCTCGAGCTAAAGTAAAAACGACAAATTTAATGAGGTAATTTACAGGGAAGTTCCCTTACACTTTAATATTCCGTAAATGACATCGAGGCTTTTTGCCCCTTTTCATTAAATCCCTGCTAGCAATCTCTTCCTCTTCTTCTTCGTCTTCAGAACTGCTCACACGCGAACTAGGACCAGGCTTCGCTCCTGCTCGGAAACTTCTCTTGTTTTTCAAGTTATTCCTTCTTGTTTTTGTTAACCTGTTAGAATTAATCTGCTCGTGTGACTGACAAGATTTTTCTTTCTCTATACGGATAACACCTTGTTCATCTTCAAAACTGCTCAACATTGAACTAGGACAGGGCCTCACTCTTGATCGAAAACTTTCCTCGTCGCCGCTTTTTCTTTCCGTTAATCCATTAGAATCAAACTGCTCGTGTGACTGTTGAGCTTTTTCTTTCTTTATTTGGATAACACCCTGCATGGGGAGGCTAGCTTTACGACATGACTTGATATCTGCGCTATCCATGGAATTTGCAGGAGACAAAGATTTATTGAGGAATCCAGGGGTTGGAACTTTTAAGGAAGGTTGAGCCTTAGGACCAAATGAAACAATCGAAATTTTAGATAAACTGGCCTTTAAATCAAACCTAATATCAATACACAGGCCTCACAACGAGTGCAAGACATAAATACTTCTTAACTATGCAAGTTAAGCCATAAACTTCCAGATACTTTTTCTACTAACAAATCCCATCTCAGCAACGCTGAATCAACACGATAACCCTTTAGCCCCTAGGAGTGACCAGCATCTTTTTCCTCCTTACAGAAATACTGCTGAATCATTCATTAAGATCACGAGAATAAAGAAAATGATCGCCAACCCAAGAAGATTTGATTGCTACATGAATTCTCCAAGTCAGTACCAAAGGATAAGTATAGAGAAGAGTATGGAGAATATAGATTCTGATATCAGGGTGTAAAGGATTAAGAGATAAACTGCAATTAGTGCAAACTGGGGAACCTCCGTTCTGGGGAAATCCACTACACTAAAAATAATGTTCCCTGAAGAGAGGTGTCCCTTTAATGAGGGTAAAAGATACAGGTGTACAAAGGTATTACGAACATTATTCCGAGTATTTGTGCCTCTTGAATGGAGGTGTCACTTTCCTGAGCTGAAACTTTGTTGATAATATATTACAGTTAGAGGAATGTTTTGAATTATAAGTATGTGCACAACACATCAGTTGATTAATCTTCACTAAGTGTGCAAACTAGAATAAGCTGTCACAGGACTTATCACTGTACATTTTTTTAAAAGGAGTTTTAGATTAATTACCAATTACTTCCCAAAGTGAAAACTGGCGAATAATCCCTACTATAACCACCTTGATTGAGAGTGACTTTAGCAAGAGATGACACAATCATCGACCAATCAGAGCATGCACATAATCGCCTATAGGTCAGTCAGCTCCAATTAATGGAAGGCACTCAGAGACTGGCAAGAACAAGTTTGATTGTCAAGGCAAAACCAGTACCTCAATGAGTGAAATTATCTGCTGCTTTTCCTCTGCAGACAGCTCCTTGGGTCCTGGCAATGCAAACAATTCCCAGAACTTGAGGGCATGTTTCGATCCCTCTCGATGACTAGCCTTAAGCAGAAGCTGAAGTAGTTTTCTGGTAACATCAACTTTCTAAAAACAAATGTGCACATTAAAAAATGACGTGGAACATAAGTGTCTGGGATTCAAGTCAAGGCTTTTACCAGCGTTATGTTCTTAGGCAAGACACTTCACCCAAACATTGCCACTCTTGACAAAGAGAACATTAGAGGTAGCAGTGCGATATTTTTTACTCCCAAACCCCGCATTTCAGTTCCAGGGCTTACATTTAGTAGATGTGTATCAAAAATGCATGTCTCGCAAACTAAACTTAATTAACACAAGCAACATTGCTATTGAAAATAAGAATCAACCTTAGTATTAACATACTTAACATGGAAAATGAATCAACAGACCCGGTACGACTCGACCTACCTGGTTATGAAACAACCGGGTATGAAATGACGGTGGGTATAAAATGACTGGTAACCATTATAGAAAAGCAGGAAATAAAGGAAGTGTGGTTCAGTGTCAATGTTTTGTAAAATCAGTGAAAGATAATAGAGGTCACCATGAATCTCTGGGGAATAAACCACCCCAACCCTAAACTGGAACGCAAACTTCCCGAAGCCATGTGGTCTGAAATGTTGATTAATGCTGAATTTCTAAATATCAAAATTGGGCGCTCCAAAATTATTTTCATTTTCCTCACAGTATCTTATTTGAAGTTCCACTGTTTTGATACTTAACACTTTGAGAAATCAGTGAAAGAAAAAGCTCTGACTCATTCCTTTGCCTTTGCTTTGACAAGAGAATTACTGGGAAAGCCTCCTGGAACATGACTATCAGGTGATAGAATCATAACTGTATATACATCATGCTTGTAACACAACACCAGTCACTGATGGAAATATTTCCTGAAAGTAAGGATCTCTGTGAAATATGGTAAACGTAAATTTCACCTTCTTGTCCCCTGTTTCAGTTAAAACAAAATCTACCATGTCTTTTGCCCAAAGGCCAGCTGTAGGAGCCAGGAGCACCGACATTTGTCTCTTGACCAATTCATGAATTATGCCTAACAAAGTAGACTGAACATCTGACTTGAAAGTACTTTGAGTCACACACTCATCTGCAATGAATTTAATTAATGAATGCATTGATGATTTGTTGAATCAATACAATTTCAAGCAGAAAAGTGATGAGAAAACAGTAAAATATAAACTAGGAGATTATTTCTTGATCCAATACCAAGTTCTCTTAACCAACAATATAAGAGTTGTATGGCAGAAAGTAAGAAGAACTACTATTGTGATCTTGGGACTGATAGGGTTACCTTAAACAGAATTTGGATTATGTTGTCAAGGCTCATAGCCAACAGAGAACTAATGCCAGTTCTCATCCATTCAAAGTCCGTTTTTATGTTATATTGACTGTGTTGGTCAATGTATATTCTATGTTAAGGTATACATGTACAATCACAGTGCAATAATATCTTGTAACTTGGAATTTCTTGCCTAGGTGTGTGTACAAAGGAACCACTTATAACTACCTAAAATCACTTGGAATTCTTAAAAATTCAAGTAAAAGTGTTGCTCTTGTGTTTTGAAAAGTTATTTTACCTGTCATGCTTGGAATAAGGGAGAACACCGATATCGTTATCCTACCCAGGTGAGCCCCTTATCCATCAGAGGTTACAAAAAGTTTTCAAGCCTAAACTAACTTCTTTCCACAAAGATTGTAAGGTAAGTATCAACAATTTCTCAGATAAATCAGTTAAAATTTCTTGGAACAAATGTATCATAACCCTGCCGTAAGCTTCCGTCTTTTAATTGATCTAAAAACTACTTGCAAAGGAGGCTCTCATGGAACACAAAGTATTTTTGTATTCGAAATTTCCCAAACACAATTTCAAAGCTACATCATAATTATCCCACAATTAGACTCAATAGAATTGCACATTTTAAACTTCTTTAACCCTTTACCCTCGAGAAGCGATTGGCCTCTAATTTCTCCTTACAGCACTAAGCTTAATTCAAATATAAAAGGTGACGAGGATACCTGTAAAGGAAATAATCACTGGTTTAAGAAGCTCCTGATTGTCAAGCAAATTCTCCTTGTCAAGACCACAGGATATGTAAAGAGAACAGTGGGGAGAATATAAATGCTACTGATACAGTGTAAAGGGTTAGAGCTGTGTTGTTTCTCCTGTATTTATTCTTTATTCTTACCTGCAACATTGTGAAGATATCTAATTACAAGTGAGACATAGAGCTGACCATCATCAAAGTCCAGAAGAGAAAGCACAAAAGGTTGAAACCATGCCAATGCCGTGTTGTAAAATCCACTAGAAGATTTTGCATCACTCAAAGACCTGGCTCTATTTGACTGCTTGACATCTTTTGGCTTGAATTTCACTCCACCATCTTGGGTTTGCCACTGCAAAATAGCCTCTTTAAAGGAACAGTTTTCCGTTATAATCTCAAAGAGTTCTTCAGGCTTATATGTGAACACAGAAATCTGCCAGATTCTCTCTTCAAGTCTCTCTTGCAAGACAACAAAGCACTGTAGCATTGGCCAAAATGCTTCCACCTCTGAGGATAATAAGCAGTTAACAATCTGAGTTAAAATTGCCCAAATCTATATAAAATAAAATGCTTACGTCGAAGTCTAGCACCTGACTCAAGAATAATAGTCTTAAAGTCACATTGTGATGAAAAGGGAGAAGCATAAGGGCAGAAATGAAATGGAGGTACCCCAGACACCGAGAGGGGACTAAGTCTTTGCAGCTATCTCCACCAAAAACTTTCCAAGAGCTTAATCCTCAGAGTGAACTACTATTTGTGTCACGAAATCTAAAAAAACCAGACTTTCTTTAGCTGAAGGTGGCTTATCAGTTAGTCTATGATAACCTTTAAAATGAGCTGTACCTTGATTAGCACGAAAAGAAGGGCAGATAAAAAGTAAAATATAATTTTTTGTTGCTTCATCTGGCATTTACAATATCGTCATACTTTGTACTTTAAGGTATAATACTCATATGGGAATAATTTATGTTCATTTGTAACTGTAATTCTACTAATAAGATTAATTCTAAAATGTATCATTACACACAAAACTTATCTACTCATTTTGTAACAGGTTAACAGTAGGCCCTAAGTACCTTGATTTCTCATTGGCTGCACAATTGCATTCAGAATCCCTATGTGACCAGTGTAACTCATAAAGCATGACTGCACTGTGGCCACATCCATTCGCATCAGTAGCACAAACAGTCCCATCCAGTACTCTTTTATAGTAAGAGGAACATACAAGTGTGGTGGGAGAAATTGAAGAGGCAGGCCAGTAGTATTTTCGTCCTTCGGTATTACAATTTCAGAAAGTTCAAACAGATTAAACTCCACGACATCAATCATCCACTTGATAACCTCTTTCAAGAGATCGTATTCGTCTGGATTTATCATTCCTTGTCCTCTCACACTTATAACTGCCCAACCCCGCACCTGATATAAAGATACATGTAATTAAAAAAATAGTTATCTAACCTCATTTAAGTGGTGATAGCACTTCTGTGTTATTCATAACTATTTATAACACACAGAGAATAATCCACGCATAATGTAACCTTTTAAAATTTGGAATCATTATGGTAGAAGACAAATTAGTTACAGTAACTATACATAAGGTCCAAAAAGGAAATTATATCAAATTCTGCAACACTCAAAGTAAATCAAACTGAATGGTAGAGTAAAGGACTTGAACCTGTGACCTCCAGATTCCGAAAAAGTAATAAACTTGATGAATTTTTTTCAAAGTTTGAGGTTTGGTGCAAAAGGTTGAGCACAATTTATTTTAATTTGCCTTCACAGGTTTCTGCATAAAATCTCTGTTGAATTATTGGGTACTGTGGTATTATTGTATACCATTTTTTTATCATTGTGGAAGATGCTTATCAATTCAATTTTACTCCTGTATAAATTTTAAGGAATAACATTCAGATCAATAACAAACAAAACATCTCTTCACCTGCTGGCCACCTCAATTAACCCTTAAACTCCCAAGATTTCATTAGCAATTCTCCTTAGTATCTACAATACAATTCTCATGATGTTACTTCTGCAACTTGATATTGAATCAACTAATAGTCCCCCAATTGATATTTTTCTTTACTTCTTGGCACTTGTCTGCTTGATATTGTACTGTTATTGTATGGGGAAATTATGTCTTAGTCACTCACACTGACAGGAGTTTAAGTTAAGAGAAACAGTCTTAAGTTATAATGCAGTTAAAAGCAATTTAATAGAGTTAACAACAAAGAGCATCAGCGGTATCTAGTATTCAGTGGTTTTTGCATTTGCACATGCGTCAGAATTCCATGTGCTCTTCATTTGAGGTGTTCTTGTGAGTACTTTGAGCGTGTATTTGCAGTGTTGTGAGGAGTGTCAGCTCTTCCTCCAGGCAGTTTTCATTTTCCTCATTCGTTTTCATCTCAAAAGGCTTAAGCACTATTATCTTTCATTTGTTTTCCTGGTGATTAACTGTTTTCGTTCGTATGGATCAGCTTTCCAGGCGTTCGACAAATAACAGAGCCACTGCCATGCTGGAATCACCAGAATTAATTTCTTCAGTCCTGTCCTCTGTGGATCCTCCTCCTTCCTTAACAGAAACCTTGGCTGCCTCAGCTCCTGCAGTCAACCCTCCTTCTTTTGTGCTCTCCACCAAGGATCTCAGTCCAGCCTTTTCCTGAGTGTTAGGCAAGTCATTACCACACATTTTAGCGGCCATGCAAAGCCACTCCACGAATACATGTGCTTCGGTCTCATGCTTCAAATCGACAGGAAACTGATCCTTTGGTGGTATTGTTGAGGTCTGCGACCCAGAATATGCCATCAGCATCACTTCACCCTTCTGTGATTGACCAGTATCTCCTCACAGAACTTTAGAAAGGTGGTGTAACTGTAGCCCCTACTCTATATCTCCAATTCCAAGCCTTCATGTCAGTCTCTTTGGAGTGATCCCAAAGAAATACCAACCTGGAAAGTGGCGGCTTATCTTGGATTTATCCAGCCACTGAGGCATAGCTTCAATGACAGCATTCCTGAAGAGCCTTTCTCTTTGCAGTACATGAAAGTAGATGATGTCATCAGCGGGATCATGTCTTATGGTGAAGGAGTACTTATGGCAAAGTTTGATGTGGAAAGTATGTACCCCAATGTCCCTCTCCATTCTGATGATTGTTATTTGCTTGGAATGAAGTGGCAAGGCAATTATTTCAGCAATCTGGCTCCTCCCTTTGGATTACCCTCTGCCCCGTCTTCCCTTCTATTGCATAGAAGATTCAGTGTTTCCATCACCTAGCTCCACACACAGCAACTGTAGCTACACCAGTACCACTGTCACTCCTGCCCCAGCTTCCTGTGACTTGACAGCAAAATGCCAGTCTACCTGCCAGTGAACAAACATTAATATGCTTCTGTGCACGCCTTGCAGATCATCTTAATCACTCCTATATTAAAGTTTATCTGTCTGCTGTTTGTTCTGACCCACTCACTGACTGTCTTCTGCTACAGTGGGTCTTAAGAGGGATTAAACGACATCAGGTCAGCCTGTGACTGCAGACCTTTGGGCCATTGTGCACAATTCCTTGGACTTCTCCACCCCTGACAATGTCATGCTGTGGGAGACTTGTTGCTTTGGCTTCTTTAGGTTTCTCAGAGCTGGTGAGTTTACAATGAATGGTCCTTTTGACCCAGCTGTGCACCTGACAATAGCAGATCTGCAAGTAGATTCCTTGACAAATCTTCAAAGTTTCAAGGTGTTCATTAAATGCGCAAAGACTGATCCTTTCTGGCAGGGCTGTTTCATTTTCCTTGGGTGTGGCTCCACATCACTCTGCCCTGTGTTAGCTTTATCAAACTACCTTCACCTTCGAGGGCCAGGTAAAGGTCTCCCATTTATTTATCAAGATGGCTGTCCTCTTTCGGGGGCCTGTCTATCTTCATTCTTACAATCTACACTATAGGTAGCAGGCATTCTCAGAAAGTTCTCTGGCCAGAGCTTTAGAATTGGAGTTGCAACTACAACTGCTCAGCAGGGCACTTCTGACCACCTCAGAAAGACCATGGGACGCTGGTCAAGTGAGGCATATTTATTGTATGTGTGCACACCTGTGGATAGCATCCTCTCAGTAGCAAAACAGATTACATAGCAGGTATGATGGTCAGAATCTCTCACTTCCACCACTCAGTGGGTGCCGTCAGATTTGGGCAGTTTTTCTTGAGGCCATGGCCTGCTGTTGCCATGAGCCCTATTTCTCCAAGCTGATTGAGCTCAGCTCAGAGGTCATGGGAGAAGTATCCACCTAGGAGCTGGCTGCCAATAGCAGAAGCTGCTGGAAGTTTCAGGCACCCAACCTCCAGTTAACAATGCAGTTATTAAATGCAGTTAAATGCAGTTAATTTGACAGAGTAAACAACAAAGAGCGTCAGTGTTCTCTAGTAGTCAGCAGTTTTCGTAGAAGCATGTGTCAGAATTCCATGTGCTCTTTGTTTGAGGCGTTCTTATGTGTACTTCGAGCATTTATTTTTGCAGCATTGTCAGTATTGGCAGCTCTTCCTCCAGGCAGTTTTCCCCACCCATTCCTTACCTCTTTCCACTGTTTATTAAGTGTGACAGGTGCCTGTTTTCCTTTCCTGTGTGGGGGCTCATGGCTGGGTTGCCAGGATTTGCCAGCTATGGGAGAAGTCTCCATGTAGGAGCTGGCTGCCAATAGTGGAAGCTCTTGGATGTTTCAGGCACCCAACCTCCAATTGGCAATGCAGTTGTTAAGTATCGTTGTGCAGTCTTGAATGAAGTAATTCAACAGTGCAAAGTTCAGCTATCATTGTAAAATTATATTTCGCAATACAGTGATAATTTAACAATACACTGTTTTTCAATATAAACACTATATTACAATACTTCTAATATTACTGACAATACATTTAATTTAACAATACACTGTATTACTGGATAATATTAAATCATTCTTCATACCTCTGGATCAGGATGAACAAGCAGAAGATATGCTCCAGGAAGCTTTTCCTCCAACTTGAGTGGACATCCACACACATTCAGAGCAATAAGTCCTCTTTTAAACCATAATGCTAGTGTCTCATTATGTAAGAAATATGGGAACCTTAACATTTCCAGAAGGGGAACTTGTAACTTCATTGGGACATCCTGGAAAAGTTTAAAACAGGTTATTAACATTGATGACAGGGCCACTGAAAAGAAAAGTTGTCTTTGTTTAGAATTGTGTTATTGAGTTATATTGCAGAGTAATTAAGCCACAATAACTACACAAATTTCCATAAAGCTTTATCACATGGCCTTTAAATCCCTGGTTTTTGTCTTCACACATGCATCAATTCAAGAATGCATTTGTTCATACCTTTGTTTATTCATTTGCTTTTTCCTTGAATTTTTTGTGCATTAATTCATACACCCTTCTCTGGTGCATCAATTCATCAGTGGTCATCCTTATGTTAAAAGAAATTTTCAAACTGGTAGAGCAGTCCTTTAAGCTCATTAATTTTCAAAAATTTGAAGCAATTTTAGGCGATAATATGAGGTACAACAGGCAGTAGGCTTTATAGGTTACTGTTTGAATAGGGGTACACTGCCAGTGAAGGACTAACTTAGAAAATTCTGAGCCCATATTCAATTTGTGTGTTGGTCAAACAAACCTGCATATGTGGAAAAAATCCTTCCCTACGTTCTGCATCTTCTAGGGCAGTACTGATTGTCAGCTTCAATCTATCAACATCCAAGTGCTGCAAAACCTATCAGGGAACAAAATTATTCCTTGTGACAAAGAAATGTTTCATTGTGCCAGAGAGTGAAAACCTAATTCTGGTCATGCTGGAAAACCTATGATAATAGTCAAAATTCTCATAACCATCACCAGAAACCAAACTGACATTTCTAACTTGCAAGCAAGCAAACATAAGTAGTATAGTAGTCGGCAGTACCAGATCGTGATCTGGTACAAACCCCAGCTCTCTATACTACTTTCCATGTGATGGAATTATTTAATAGAATCATTTGATGAAATTATATCATGGAATCATTTGATGGTATCATTTTATAATATCAAAGTGTTAGAATACTATAGGAGACTAGCCATATGATCTCACTGCATTTTTCCATTGTGTGACATTCTCAGAAAAACAGGGGAAGGCAAAGTTAGGTTCCCATGCATTGGAATTGATGGTGTATAACACTGTTTATGAAGATTGTGGGTATATTGGATCTAAAAAAATCTCATATAATATTAAATGATAATTTGTCCAACAGCCTTGACATGAAGGGAAACAATATTTATAATCCAGCTGACCCAGTCAATTAAACAGATGCTTCAAACAAATGGTATATTGATACAAAAACAAACATATTTTTGAGAATGGATGGGTCAAAAATAATGTCTGGCAATCTTGATATGAATACAAGAAGTATCATAACTCTTAAAGAGGCACATGCACATGAAAGCACTTATGCTGCTAACACTTATGTCAATTAGATGATGTCTGACAGCTATACAAACCTACAGAGTACTTCGATGACAGATTAAATCATTGCATATCAAGATGATATTAATGTGTTTCAATATCTCATGGATAACCCAAGTTCTGAATTTAGTGACAAAGATGATGTATCAGGTGTCCAAACTACAAAGATTTAAAGATTTTCACTAAATAAAAAAGAGACATATGAGATGAAGCTTCATCTTGATGCAAGCAAAGGGTTTTATGGCAGTTGTGTAGGTCTGAATAATATTGTACCCTTTTGCAACTAGTGAATATACTGTCGTTTTTTAATTATATTTTCCTTCAGCATCAATCCACCATTCAACAGTTCAAATATCTGCTACTAGTAGGGTTGAGACAGTTTTGAGAACATCAACTAATATGTTTAGTGATCAAAGCTGAAGTATAATTAATCTTCATAAATACAATAATGACTCCCAATTATCTCACAATTGGTATGGTTTTGAAGAATAAATCTGGCATCAGTTATACACAGGACTTACAAATTTTGTCATTGTACGTGGTGTTTCAGGGTATCATGATGATATCAAGACAAGTGTTTAGGATACTTTACACACCGTTTACAATGGTGTCATCAATTTCAATGAGAAGGCTAAAATGGATGTGGTTGATTTTGTCAACAATCAAAATCCTGTATCTAAAAAGATACATGACACCAATATAAATAGATAAACTAACTATTATAATAACAATCTCAAGCATAATAGAAAAAAAAACCATTAAACTTAAGAGACTTATTTCACGTAAATACAGTAACTTTTGCTGAAGCAACACATTTCAGTTTGAAAAATGGAGGTGAATTGATTATTCAAGAAACAGGTTTTTATCAGATTTTTTTCAAAGACAGCTTCAAGGCATCTGCAACTACTTTAAATCTCAAGGAAACAAATATAAATATTACAAAATGTTCTAGAATTTATAATTTTGAAGATACACAGGATCAGTGGATTGATATATCTACAGCTCACATTGTCAGCTTACTAAAGGGAGCATCCATAACACTAGATTTGAGCACCAGTTTGCTTAGACTGAGGAAATTATTCATCATTTTTTATTATAAAACTAAAAATAATAATTTTCAACTAATTGATTAAAATAATTGATATATATATATATATATATATATTGAGATAGGGGAAAAACAAAGAGACTATACTTTCATCCCTACAAGCCTGTTTTGTGATTACTCACTCATTAAGGGATTTTATTGTCAAGGATATTTGTAACCATTGTTCATATACTTAACAAATTTGCAAAATAGATGTGGCTGTAAATTTAAATGCTTTTTTCAATTGTTATGCAGTAATGCTTTGTTTCTGTCATGATGTGATGTGGTTTCTGTACCTAGTCTAAAATTCGTTTTCTGTAAACTTGTCTGATGTATGCTTCAGTGGTGCTGTTGTCCTTATGTATGGTAGTGGCTTGGTCGATTAGTGATAATTGGGGGCAGTTTCTGTTAAGTGGGCATGTGTTCTTCTGTCGGCAGTTACAAGTTTTGGTGTCTTTTGTGTTGGTGTTATCTGTGGTGTCATCCATATGTTTGGATGAATTTAAAATGTGTTTGTTGTGGTTGTCAAAGATCTCTTTAGTGCTATTCATGCAGCTGTAACTGATCTCAATTGTATTACAATTTAAGATTTTTCTAAGTTTGTGGTCTTTAGAGAAGTGCTTGTCTGCTATTGGTGCTAATGTTTTTGCTGAATGGGTGGTTGTACCAGAGTATGTTGTTCCATTGTCTGTTTTTGGTTTTTAGTTGTAGGTGGTTTGTAATGTAGAGTGAACCAGTATCTGCATTTGTCAAGTGCTTTTTGATATAGAGGGGCAGCTTGATCAAAGGATGCTTTGTCAGATGAAAGGGATGACAGTTGTTTGTTGATGCCAGCGGGTATGTTCTTTGTGGTGATTGGTGGGTGGTTGCTCTTGCAGTGGACATATTGTAGTGTGGTGTTAGGCTTTGTGAAGGGCAGGTAGGTGCTTTTGTTAAAGTTGAAAGTCATGTCTAGGAAGTTGAGAGTCTGTTTGTTGACTTCAATGGTGATCTGTAGCCCATTGTGATTAAAGATGCTGCATATTTCCTTTTTCATGTTTTCTGTATCTCTCTGTGTGGCATTTGAAATGGCCAGTCCATCATCTTGCTCAAGTCTTGAGTCAGTTGGCAGAGAAGGAAACTTTCTACTAGCTTGCATGTTTCAGCACTGTTGTGCTGCCCATTGTGACATCAAATGTTTCTGTCATTGTCAGTGATGTTGTTGTAGGCTGAGGCAAAGTCAAGTGCTCTGTACAGGAGGTCTTAGCCAATGGAGGGGTAGAATTCTTTGATGTCAAAGCAAATAAAACTGTGTGTTGTTTGTTTTTAACGGTTATGAACCTCTTGATCATGGATTCTGTGTTTTTCCGTTGGTTGAATTTGGATGCTCTTGTGATTTTGTTGTTGATTCTGTCTAGGATTGTTTTGCTGATTCTGCCTATCTTGGATTTGGTGGGGTTGATTAGTCCGCAGGTTGGTTAGTTTGGTTTGTGGCCTTTCAATGTCATGAATGTGTCTTTGTTAGCTGTGGTGTCCATCCTGTCACCAATGCCCAGTTTCTTTGCGATGTTTTTGTTTTCTGAATGGATGGCTCATGTGGTATTAGGTTGTGCTTTTTTGTGGGACTGTGTGATATTTAGTTCTAGTACTGAGATTGTTGTATGTTGATGGTTCTAGTTTGTAAAAGTTCATTGTTTTGTCAGCGACAATGAGTAGCTTGGTTTCCTTTTTTATGTGTTTGGTGTAGTCTTTGAGTTTGTTGAGGAAAGGGTTGTTTACTTGTTTGAATTTTGTTGATTGTAAAATCTTTAGCATGTCATCTGAAAATTTCTTTAACTCATCGAGTGGAGGAGGGTTCTTGGTAGACTTGAAGCCATATCGATCTTAGGAGTGGGTGGATGAAATCAAATCCTCATACTGATTTTATCATTAGAAATTCCTGCTATTATTTTAGACAGGAGAAAATAAAAACATTTTTAACAATTGAATTTATAATGTAATTTATCATTAGCATGTCTTGTTGTATCTGGCATAATTGCAGGTGCTGTGACACTCAACCCAATTGAATTAGAGACTATATCTGGAGTAGGTGTGCTGCTAAAGACTTATAGTAAAATAAAGAATTTTTAGGAAAAACCAAGCTATGTCCTTTGCTGACACATCATATGAAAAAGTACTGGTTGACTTGCAGTCCTCTATGAGAGGCCAATCATGTGATGATCAAAATAATTTGACTCAGTTGAGGGTTCTTGATGATATCATCATCGATATACGTGTCCTTTACTTGACAAAAGGGATAAGGAGTATTCACAAAAATTAAATTTTGTCTCCAAATAATTGTTTTGATGTCATCACTGATGAGTGTTTGAGTTTTACACCAATATTGGTTATAAAATGCTAACATTCTTTTTGAATATATTGGTATATTTTTAAATTATAATTTCATCATTTTGAATATTTGTGTTAAAGTAAAACAAATATTGATCGTCTGTTTGCAATCACCATTACAATGATGTAGCACACTCTCAATCTTTTAAAAAATATCTAATATCTTATTTTTATCATTCTTGGATATTTGTATATTGTACCTTTTACATTTATTGAAGATTGTATTATAAATGTGATACTTTCAATGATAATTGATTTTCTCATAATTGTAAATTTATTTTCATTTTAATTTATGTACTCTTTCACATATTTATATCCTTGAATCAATCCACTACTAACTCATACAATTTCTTTGTTGTTTTTTCAAGTTTCATATTTTCACAACATTGTTCATTTTTTACAGTATGTTCTTGAAGTTGCTTGTCACACATTGAACAATAAATCTCTCCCATATTCTCATATTCTCAAAGGTTAAAATGGAGATCCAATGTAGCCACCAGATGGATCAAGCAAAAAAAAAAGGTTGACACTATCATGAACAGAATTTTGGATGGTAGTGAATCCTTTCAAGGTGATATTAATTTTAATCATCACTGGATTAAGAATGTTCATATGCCAGCAACCATTTACTATGCTTCTAATCAAATTTTTTGCAAAACAAGATTTCAACAAATTAGCAGATGATTTCAAACAATGATTGTTGGGATGCAACAGACAAAAAGATTATAAACTTGAAAAGAGCAGAATGCGATGCTGAGGCTGTGACCCTTGGTCAAATGACTGACATAACAAATGAAAAATTCGATACAAATAACTTGCTTACTCAGACTTTAAAATCAAGATTAGTATTTACTTATTTAGTAATAGTATTTACAATGACCATGACATTAAGAATAAAAAATTTATATCCTCATGAGTTTTTTCCATGGATTTGTCTAACAGCCTTACCATGATTGATTTCTTGTTTTTCTGAGAATATCACGCGATGGAAAAATGCTGTGAGATCATATGGCTAGTCTCCTATAGTAATTCAATGCTTTGATATTATAAAATAATTAAATCATATGATTTCATTAAATAATTCCATGTTCCTATCATACACATCCTATTTAGTTAGAAACGGTTTTTTTTATATTTTTAACGCTTAGTGGTAATGTGATAAAATGCTTATTGACTGAGTTTGTTCCAGCCAGAGGGGAAAATATTTGTTTCTCATAAATGACATACTGAACTCCCTTCGCTTAGTCTGTGCATATGTCATGAGGTTGAGCTAAATATTTTCATGTTCAGTCCTCCCACTGAGTCAATAAGTACACAGTCTGACAGCTATCCTTGTGATAAAAGGATAACACAGTAACAGTACCTTTTTTTGCCTCTGTTCAGTCAACTCTTCCTGTAGCCTGTGATACTCCTGTACACAGTCAAAGCAGTAGCAGAGATCTAATAGTAAATCTGCTGGCCATTCATCCAGTGGTTTATCAATATATCCTGGGAGGTCGCTTTTCATAAAATCAGGTGAAGAACACCATTCACAGGTTCTATCAATTGACTGCCCCAGCCAACTACAGTCCTTTTCCTGCATTGGAAATTAAACAAGAGAGGGAAAAAATTCCATACAGTTTATGATCCAGGTAAAATTATAACCTTGTTAGAAAAGCCCACAATTAAATCCAGAACGATATTATTTTAGGATCGTTCAGTGGTGTAAAGCATAACTAGATTCGACAAGACCTCGTGATTTCAGAGCCTTCTTGCTTGTGCTTTACATTCCTGCTGAGTTAATTTACAGCAAAGAACTATGATTTCAAGGTTATTATTCTGGTGTGCAAGGTGAGCCTTGAAGAATATAGAACACCTGCCAAATTATGCAGCTGCACGCTCCATTATGACCAGCTTCTAGACAATGGAGAATTTCTCTTCAAGTCCAAGATAACACTTTCTAATCTGAAGTCTCAATCGTAAATAATTCACCTTTAAAAGTCACTTTACCAAAGCGAGTAAGTTGTCCGAAACTCCTGACGATAAAGGATCAGGAAGGTAAGAAATGCACAGAGATGCTAATCTGGAGATACGTGACAAGATGAATGAAAATGCTACATATTTACACACGGACAAAAGATGTCTCTCAAGCTCTGGTTCGCAGCCCAAAGTAAAAATATAAACATAGCTTACCCTTTTCACAACCACGTTCATCGCTGTGAGATTCCAATTTCAGTTCAACACTATCCGCTGGTTAACAGCTCAAGCTTTCTTCATCCACGAGACGTTGTATCGTAGCTCCACATTACCGGAACTCATGTTCACCATGTGTCCACTGTCCTGCGCCATTTTTCGTACAATAATGATGGGTCACGTGGCTACTTTCCTGGCAGTTCAAGGCTCCATGTGGTAGTCACAATGTATCCTTTGTTTATTATGCTTTTACGAAGTCCTTGAGTACTTCGAGCAAACAATGTTCCACAAATTAATCTGTCTTTAAATATGTGAGACTGCTTGAGGTCTTTTCATCGCTCATTGTAATTAATTACAAGGTAGTTATCTAAATTTCAGTAATTCGGGCCCGATTGATGGGTACAAGTCCGCAGGCATAATTCCTGGTCATTGGACACAGTAGACAACATCAAGACATCAGTTTAAGCAGGCATCACAGTCATATGTTTCCTTTACCCTCATAAGATATCATTTTCCGTCACTGGACATCTATTTGTTTTATGTTGTCATCCACCTTCACAAGACATCGTCAAACCGGTGAAAGGCGTCACTCACCATTCTCCTTCGATAAGCATCATTCACGTTCATAAGATATCATTTATTATCATAAGACATCGTTCCCCGTCATAAGACATCATCCACCTTCACCGAGCATCGTTCTCGATCATTAGAAATCATTCAATTTTGCCAGGGATCATTAAAGGTCGATAAACGGTGACAGAGATCGATGCCTTGTGATGGTAAAAGGTGAAAAACAAAACAAAACAAAAACGGTGAAAGATGTCTAATGACAGCTTACGTCGAGTGACCGTGAAGGATGCTTTGTGACGGAATTTCAAGGTCAAGGTTTCCTTCAAATCGTAGAAATGAATTTAAGTATCATTAGGAAACTCCTTTAACCTTTTAACTCCCAAGGCCCAATTTTCAATTGCCGGCAATTTCTTCCAAACATTTCTTTTGATTTCAGTGGTCTTAGAATTTAGTGCCAACTCAAACAAAATCCTCCGGTTGATTTTTTTCTTTCTTGTTAATTTCGTCTTCTCTAAAATGTACCGATGATGCCTTTTTGGTCACTCCAATTGGTTACAGGGTTAAAGCGAGGAACAACAGAAGAAACAGCCACCTAAAACTGCTCAAAAGTCTCTTTAATGATATCTGGTATATCACAAATCTCGAATAGCTTTTTACAAGTATTAAACACGACCAAAATATTATTTCAGAGACAGTGTACAAGATAAATCATTTTCACACAGAAAGTTCTTGCTCTCAAAGTCAAATACGTAGCTAGGCTAAAGATGTCATTGTGCTGTTACAGACTGCAGTGTAGGTTTGTCGTCTAGCTTGTCGTATTCCAAATGGAATTCCTTCGCAACCTTCCTCCACGTACTACAGTCAAAGAAGTAGTATGTTCCTCGTTCGTATGAATTCGTTTTTACTTGAGGATCAACACCAGGAGCACGTGTCAACCATAGTCTTTCGTCTTTGTGGTAACGCCAATCACGTGCATACCTAAAGAGGATAACCAATAAGCATTAAGATGACGCGTTACACACGTGAGCATCTGTGCACTTTTGAGCCGAGGACTTGAAAACCAAAACCAAACTCATTACGTAAACCAATCAGATAAAAGGGACGTAGAGCACGGAACCAATCAGAACTTAAATTTGGTACAAGTCACCGGCCAGAAACACAGTAAAACGCGAATGATCAAGTTGCGCTCGGTTAGCAGTAAAAGAGGGCCGATAGAAGCCGTGTCTTGACTTCACAAATAAGAAGAAAAGGTTAAGTTTCAATTGCAGGAGTTAAAAAGGTATAGTTTCTTCGACAACGAAGTCTCCTCTGTCCACAAATAGGGATTGCGTTGGGGGAACCTCACACTCAGCACACCAGTTAAAAAGGAATCATCCTAAAGAACTAGGAGGGTAAAAACAAATTGTCTATACTAACAGTTCAGCTGCGGCTGCAAGTTGGAGAATATCTCCTCCATTCGTGTAATAGAGATAGAAGAGCAAATCCTCGGTATACCGACTGAGTTTAATGGGTGCAAGCTGCAAAAACACAAAAGGAAAAAATATTACTATTTAAAAAAGATTAAATATGAACAGACCTCAAAAAGCTGGTAAACCTCACAAAGAGAAAAAAAAAATAAGGAAAAACAAAGACAATATTGAGACTTTAAAGTAATAAGGGTTATCGAAGTTGGACGGAACGCTTTGTTAGCTAAACAGGCCTGTTTGAACAGCAGTTTTTCACTACAACATCAATTCATCACAGTTCTATACCTTGTCCCTGATAAATGAGTTTATCCGGTACTCCGAGGGCACATGATAGTCTATGGAGAAAACACAGTAAAGTTTTGCTCCAGAACTGATCTTACTGATCATAAATATTAAACTTGACAGTTCTTGTCTTAAAAATAAAGGGTCTGTGACAAAAACTGTCACATGTTCGTTAAGCTTTGACATCTTTCGGTTTTTACAGCAAATCCTTTCAACAATTACTGTCCTAATCTTTGCAACGGGACGGATTCAAAAGGGATTTAAAATCAATAAAGTTTCCTTGGGCATTTTCAAAAGTATACATTCCTTTGAAGCCTTACCTATTTCATGTGGTCTACACGGACTGTCCGCAAACGGTGAACCAAACGTATGATAAAGACTCCTTAATTGCATCGACAAAAAAGTAGTAGTCAATACGTAAATTATTCACAAATAGTTTTAGCATTAAAATAAGTGAAAGGAAGATACCCTAACTCTTCACTCCTTTACTCCCAACCCCCCCCCAAGAAAAAAAAATGAATAAAAGGTACAGTCAATTTGACCAACAACCCCCCTTCCCCCCCCCCCAAAAGAAAAAACTGATATATATATGTACATTAGAAATAATGGCTACATTGAATTTAACTTGATTGTTTGGCACTTTGATGTAGTGTACTGGTAAATTTCACGGACTACATATCGCAAAAGATAGCCCCTCAAAATAAATGGTAGAAAAATTTCTTCAAAATTGCCGCAAACCACCGAAGAAAAAAAATTGTATCCTTAAACTCCGTCCTTTAGCTAACAAAATATTTAAAAAAATCTTCCTGCTCGTCATTGTTCCTTTCGTCGTAAGAAGGTAAGCAGAAATTGAGATTTCACAAAAATAGTGCCCTATGGCTGACAAATTTGTCTATTTTCATATCAGAGTTTGGTGAATAATACATAGACATTATCTGCGGAGTAGTTAAGCTAAGAGATAAGGGGTTAATAACAATAATTATTTCATAAATTTTAAATCAAACATGCTCCAAAATATTTTCTACTTACTCTGGTGAATTTAAGTTAAGGCCTAACGTCGTGAGGTCACTAAAGAATAAGAAAAAACACAACTGTCAAGTAAACTCCGAGAAGATAACAGCTATGAAGTCGGAAACTGGGTAGCAGAGAACGCATGACTCTGTTGCACTTACCTCCCGAGCGCTAACGTCACAAGATTTGGTTCTGTTTCTGCAGCTCTAATGAATGTTAACAATCCTATCATTCCAAATTGATCCGTTACCATTCCTTTTGGAATGTTTGAGATCATACCTGAAATACAAAGGTAGAGTGGTGAGAATAACATATACACGCGGTGTCTTTCGATTGAGCGTCCTAAACCCAAATTAAAGTAAACTCAAAGACCAATCAACACCAAGGCGGAGTCCATCAGAAACCTAACCTGGACTATTATGTTTTAGGAGAAGGATGAACCTTTGCCAAATGCTGATACAGGAAAATAAAACCGCCACTTGATCATTACCTGAAGGAGATGTCTGAATTCCTCTTGGTGGTTGCTTGTGATTTGTCGAATTCGCCTTTGCCTCTGCTGTCGCGAATCTTCGTCAGAAAAGTAAAAACTGTACATTAGCCGGTCTACTCTAGCTTTCAATGTCAAACATTTCGTTTCAGGCACATATTTTCAGAGGCATAAAACATTCTCGTAGTCTCTCCATACCACACCCGCCTTTTACAGTACCCCTCTACTGTCACGGAAACTAGGGTTATACTGATATCTCGAAGGCGTTGTGAGCGAACGAGATTTTGAAATTTCCTCCAGGTCTGAATGGGATTCGTGAGCAACTTGACTTGCGAATAAGGCAGCCTCCGAACTGGCTATAGTTTGGTGAAATCTTTAACAAGAAACCGATAAGTATGTCTCGCGATCAAAGAAACTCTTTTTTGAAATTAGGGGAAGCGAGGCAAATCAAAGCTTTCATGCGCCCAACACCTCAGTGTTTGAAGAAAATGAGGGAGGGGGAGAAAACAACAGGCCTACAAGGTAGACTTTGACTTAGAGCCCTGACTGGACGATATCCCGAACTTGCACAGGACTGTTGCTCCGCCCTGGAGAGGAAATGGGTATTAACAAATAACAAGGGAAATGTGACGAGATGCTGAAGGGTAACCGGCAATAGACCCGTCACCTTCGTCACATCCTGGAGGAGTAGCAATACTCCTCGCCACTTCATTCTATGAACACTAGAATAGGCTACAGTGGCGAGGCCGCTTAGATCGTGAAGTAAGAAGGTCATTACCGGGCGTCCTTTGCAACATCTTTCAACGCTTGTTCATACGACGATCCGCCTCTAAGATCTAAGATTAGGAAATCAGCGAGGACAAATCAAGTTACTTCTCGTTTGAAAATATATAGGAAAAACTGTACATCTACTATTCGGGGTATTCCATGTAGGGAGCTCCAAAAGCATCCCTGCAGTCAAAAGGAGCCCTGACATCCCTGCTTTCATCAGGAACCTTGTGGATAAAAACCTGATGGAAATAAAGTAACAGTAACTAAGAAAACGCTACCTGTTCCAGGGAAAATGCTTGAGCTTGCGGTGATAACCTGCAATAGAAATTGTACAATTCATCAACACACAAACACAAGTGCGTGCCATTTAACCAAGAGTCTACAGTGTACTTACTGATGGCTTGGAAGGATCCTGAGGAACAGAACTGTCCGTTTGGCTTTCTGTGAGTACAAACAGAAATTTTAATCCTTTCTAACCCTAACACCCTAACATCAGTATTTTTATTCTCCATACTGTTCTCTGTACATTTACTAAGGTGCTAACAAGGAGAATTTGTCGAACAATCGAGAGTTTCTTTGGTCGGTGATCATTTCCTTTATTCTCATGACATTAATGTTAGATTCAGGGGTGATATTGTGAGGAGAAAATAGATGCTAGTCACTCTTAGAGGCTTCAGGGTTAAAAGGAATTGTAGTAATAACGTTGGAAAACTAATGAAGATTTTTTTTCGACAATCGATCACCCTTTCCAGTTAGAAAGGCGCCTCTTATTTCTCTCCCTCCTGGGGTCTCGAGTCTGAGTTCTAAAATCTGAGTTCTTAAAATCTCGCGCTACTTTCTTAACCAATCACAAGCTAAACTCAAAGAAATTGCACCTTGCCACGTATATACCTCGCGCTCTCCAGCACTACAGGTAGCGTAATAATACTTAAATCGAGTTCTCTACGACTGCTTATGATAGTTCCCTCATTTTAATAATCTGTTGCATTAACTTTGCTTTCCCTCTTACAACACTCAATCACATGCACTCTCCGATAGAAATTACCTGACTTAAAGGTATTTGAACCAGGGAGAGCAGGAAAGTCCTCATTATGAATTGAAAAATCCGGTGGAGGTTCAGCAGGTTTAGACACTACACCGTAACTTGGCCTGTTGGGTAAGCTGCTAGGAGGTGCACTAACACCCCCTATACTGTCCAAACGTGGCACACCCTCCACACGGCTGAGACTCTCCAATCGGCTTCTGTTTGCTAGTGCCGGGAACTCTGACAGGTCTAACCCACCCGAACCACCTGGTGTCGCGTCAGCGAGTCCTATGGATGATGTAACTAACACGTGAGACAAGTGTTCTCTCTTGCACAAGTAACAGTTTTCTTTAGAGAATTCCTCTTGTGCAGTGACACAAAGTGAAAGCAAAGTATCTCGTCCAAAATGACAGAACAATTACCAATGACCCCAAACAAAGCTTCATCCTCGAAAGTTTGATCCACAGTGCAGTATTTTTGACAAAATAGCTAGCGGTCACTATTAGAATTATGTGACAGAAAAAAAACAATCAAACAAACAAACAAAAACCTAATTTGTAAAAAACCTACAAAGTTGTTTTACAAGATTTACCTTGACCAGCTCCTGAGAATATGTGCCGAAGAGATTTTGGTGAATCAGGTGCACCTATGATGCAAGAGAAAGGGAAGAAGGAAAGATTTCAGTCTTCATTCAACAATACTAGAAGAATACAGGTAGCAAAACTGACATTAAGGTGAATTAGTGGTAATAATAGATGACATCTTCCTAATTCTAACCTTCCTTTAATGTTCCATTACAATACAGCAATTGGAAAGACAAGTAAAAACTATCATAAAGACAAGTAAAAACTATCATAAAAGAGGGGTTGTATTCCCTCTAAATCCTTGCAAATGTACCTATTAGGGAGAGGTTTCCTCCAATAGTTTTTGCTGAAGATAATCCTGTAATGTACAATCTCCAGCATGTACAGTGTAAATGTGATTTTGAGTACGAGAAAGATGGTCCAGCTTAAATGAATTCATAGAGGTCTGGTAATGACTATTCCCAGGAGTTACCATGTTTCCCTTGAGTAAAGTTGATTACATATTCAAATAAAAGTGTCAAGTTTCTACTTAGAAACCGTGGTACTGTGTTGGTGGGGTATTGCAAGATAATTCACTCTGACAAAGGGCTAATGCTCAAAATATCAGTTTTAGAAACTATCTATGGCAGCCAAATTACATCATCAACTCAGTTGATAAAACCAGAGTACCTGATTTTAAGTATTCTGAAATTAAGCCCGTTGGAGTTAAGAAAAGGTAGATACTAACAGAAAATACTTTCCCAATTATGATAATAATAAGAAAATCTTACCAGGAGGTTGAAATGCCCCTGAAAAAAGAGGAAGTCCAGAACCACCCATACCCTGCAAGAGGAAGAGAAGGAAAAAAAGATTACACAGATATTACACTTGTACAGCTTAAATAACTGACCTGGAATATTTATTAATATCCCTTTACAACTGAATCTGAGCTCATGGCAACATGCTTTTTCACTATGAGAGAGTATACCCTTTCTAAAATACCATAAAATATTCTCTTAAAATATTCTCAATCTACACGTACTGCAAAAATTGCAAGCCTTTTTTTCAATATCTTTTACAAGGAATAGGTAATTGTTACTTTCCTAAGATACAAGTATATTACATGCATTCCAATACTAGAACAATCAAGTTAAACTATTCAACTACAACAAACTGGATCTACATCAATTTAAAATTGACTTGGGACCAGAAAAATTTTAAAAATCCAAAGGGTTGGAGGAAAGTCTTGGAGGTTAAGTGGCCCATAACTGCTACCACCCATCTCCAGTTCCTGGAGCATCAAGTGACTAGGGGCATGTGCTCAGGTCAGCTTACCTTCCTATGGTGGAATGCTTGTCCATCACAGGAGACACCCCTTTATTTTGTTAAATTTCTCAAACAGCTTGCTGTCTTTTGATTGACATATCCTCAATAGATGCACTCATATACATACAGTACCTGTGTCACTCCACTAGTTGATTGGCTTCTTGTGAGACCAAAACTGGACATGGGACCAGAAACAGAGCTGCTAGCACCACTACTGATACTATTTATGAACACAACATCAATTAGTGGAAAGGCATAAGTAATGGATTTTATATAGAGGGAGGCAAACACTGATCTATTTCTAAATTATAGATTACAAGAAATGTTGATCTCACAAATTCACTTACACATGTAGGTGGTTGCCAGAGTGGCTGACTTCAAGCTGTAAGAAGCCCCTGACCTTAGCATTTTACTAAAAGTACCCTGAAGCTGATCTTACCGTTTAATGAACCACAAAATCTTATTTATCAACAATACATGTATGTAAAGAATTATCCAATCACAAAACATAAGAAAATAGGTGTTCTATAATTGGGAATGCACAACCCAAAAGAATTTAGCATGCAAAAAGATTTGTCTCATCACAGGTTGACTAAAGTTCAGAGAGGTGAATGTCTTACTAAGAGTAATGAAATGATGGGTCATGCTTTTACAAAAACTTGGAATACAGAGGTATGAGAAAATCATCAATAAGAATTCTGACCAAGCTTCATCTTGGGAAGACAGGTAGGATGGTAAAAAGACCCTTTGAAAGTTATTTTAAAGAGCCACTGTGCATTTTCTTTTTTCTTTTAACTTTACACTGCTACAACTGTGAATAAAGTTTCGTCACCACATACCCCCCAAGGTTAAAGCCTCTCTGTTGATGTGTTTGTTGAGGTGTCTGTGGTGCATTCATTCCAATTGCTAGTACTGGTGAACTTCTTGAGGAGCTGCTATAGGTCATGAAGGGTATAAATAAGGGAACAGGATGAATATCAGTGAATACATTACTAAAACCAAGCAATTTCAATTGAGCAATGAAAGTAATCTACTATTACACTGCTTTCCCTCAATGTACATTGCAATTTTTTCTAGAAAGTTGAGGAGCCTCTCCAGCCAAACAAATTTAAAACTACTTGAAAATGTAACATGGTCTGTCATATTTTCCCACTTTACTGTCAGCTTACAAGTATTTCTTCAGGGTTCCCATTGGTTCCTTGCAATATTTATCTTTTTCTACTTGGCTGAAAACATTATTTAACTTGAACTGGTTTTCTGACATTCACCCCAAAAGAAGTTGAAGTTCATCAGGGTTTAAACTCCAGAGAAAAAAAATGAATGAAAAAAAAATTAGTATATTTTTAATGGGTTTTAAAGGATAGAAAAATTCTTGAGCTTGCTCCTTTGTATTTTACAGTAAAAAACCCAATAAAAGGAGTAAATGTCCTCTATTCTTTTATCAAATCTGAAGCCAAATTCAGCTTGTTGAACTACAGTGTACCAACCCTATATTGAGTTGCTCAAAAATGAGCACTTTCAAAAACTTTTGCAGGACCCAAGAAACAAATTTAACCTTCCTCAAGCAGCATGAATCCTGGTACTGAACATGTTATATAAAACTGTGAAATTCCTCAGGAACAAATCAACTGACAAACAACACCCTTGCTATTCAATCATGTTTTCTTCTTTGTCTTAAATTTCCCTAACCAGGTTTAAAGTCAACTCACCTTGATAATGATGATGGTATGGAGATTGTTCTACTTGTCTTTGGCAAATTATTAAGCCCACCCTGGTTGCCCAAGTGACCAGGACCAGGTGGCATTTGCCCCATCACTCCTCGAGGACCCATAGACAGGATCCCTCTACTGCAAACAGGCAATTAAGATCAAATGAACAAGGGTTATACTCAGTGCTATTGGGAAAACATGATCTATTGATTGTTTGTAAAAATCCAGGATAAGAGCTAAACCCAGTAATTAAAAGTCCTATTTCTAAGGTTGGGCCTGTACCTTCATTTAGCCTTTATTACATATTATGAGCTTGTGCAAGAGCCACCAAGGAACTCACCTTAAGGTACCTAGCCCAGAATTTGGAGTTCCTCTGTTTGAGTTGTTGCAACTGATAATAATTTGCTCTTTGCTGATTTATACATCATTATTCATTCATTCATTTATTTATTTATTCATTTTATTGTTTTTATCTCTTAGTCATAACATATTAATTTAACCTTTAAGAAGGCAAAAGCTCTACAAAATAACACATGAGTAGAATTTTTGTCTCTTTTACAAGGGAAGGGGGGTGCAGAAAGATTACTAAAACATGATTGGACCACAGAAATAATATTGACCTTTTGTCAATGACTGTCACAATAATAATGACAATGTAGAGTGAATATGAGATAAAAACTTGGAGACCCTTTGATGCTTGACTGAAATAGCCACAAAAACCCAACAGTACAACCTCCACATCTGTTATAGAGTGTTAATGCACATTTTGCTAATTCTACAATGTTTACCTCGCTGACTGTGATGACATATTCCCTCCCTGTGACCCAACCATGTTGTGAAGACTGGATGGAATGCTGGGAACACCTGGAGTGGTTACACTTCCACTGAGTGATGTTGTGGAGTGGGTAGGTCCAGGATGTGACAAGCTTCTACCAAACTAAATAAGTGAAGTATCAAAGTGTACTAATTAGGAATAATATACTGGTGCACAGGTTACAAATCCTTTTTGTAACCTCTAGAACTTATTTATTGAGGCAAAAAAGAAATCCAATTCTGGTTGGTAGTGAATTATGACAGTATAGAGTAATATCATTGATGTGTTATTTGGTCTCATCATCCAACTTGTTCTTGCTGAGGTAGAGAACGATTTGCTTGCCAAGATTAACCAATGGCTTCACAGGAGGCTTAACTTCTACATGAAAATCAATTTCATAAATACCTGAGCAGATGACATTCCTCTTGGAGCACTTGGTGGAACCTGCATGGAATTGACATTTGGAGGAAGTCCTAGCAAATGACAACAATATATCATGTAAACCACAAAACAAACAGGAAATGCAAAAGTTGCCAACAATAAAAACTCAGCATGAAAAAAAAAGAATGTGGACCACATATCAGTAAACTTGAGGCAGTTAAGATGAACCGCGTTTTGGTTGCTTCAAACATTCAGTTCTTCACCAAGCAAAGTTTCTTAACTCTAAGGTGTATCGCTGAAGAGACAGCCTTGTGAGTTTTGCATCTCTTCACTAGTTCATTCACCTTTAATAAGTTACTCTTGTTGGTCAACTAAGTGTTCACCTGCTTTCTGATGCAAACCTCATCAATTTGTGCTTATTAGAACTTATCTTACCAACTGAATGATATCATGTGGGATTTCCCACTTACATAAATAAAAACTTAATTAATTTTCTAAATACCAATGTTAGAAGTAACAAGCAGTTTCTGTTAGCTCAAAAAAATCTTCTGATGACCTGACCATAGCCAGGGCTGCAAATAACTGTTCAACAGATCATAACTGCTACCTAACCGTATTTCTGAACAAATGTTTTCCCCAAATGAAAAGCAGTGAAACTGGACACTTGTGATTGGATTCATTCCTTTTAGTAAAGAAAAAGTTATTTGTGAAAAGATAGATGAACTTAAAAGTTTATACCTGAGCTTGGGAGCCCTGAACCATAAAAATTAGATTGGTGGGGTCCAGGTGATTGCATACCAGAAGGCGTTCCATAAAGACCCCCAAGATGAGGCTGCAAAAGAAACATTCTGTCATGATTGGTTGATATCAACACACACATAATGTTACACAAGAAATGAAAAGGAGACAAGACCCTTTCAAAAATAGAGTTTACACATAACTAAAATGTAGATTACTTAGATGTCCACCCTAAGTTTAATCTTTCCTTCAAAGACACTCTTATACATAGCTTAATTCAAGAACAGTGAAAAGTCAAATATTACTCAGGGCTATGCTGTAAGTTAGTAACAAACAGTGCATGGATAATGCAATAATAATCATGCCTAGAAAATCTCACAAGCTATAAACAGAGTATGAACTTTAACCTCCTTCTCTGGTCTGTGTGGAGGAAACATTGAAGGATTGAAGTACATTCCACCTGATCCATAATCATCTTCCCCATCATCATTAAAAACAGGCAACTTTTTCCTCAGGGAGCCAATAGCTGGCATGTTTTTCCTACCACCTAAAGTTTAGAAAAGCACAAGGCCTTATATTAACACACCAAGACTGGGTTTCTAAAAACACAGTTGGGTTGACTATGCACAGAACTCTGAAGACCTGATAAGCAGACAACATTCAGTTGTTGTTTGACAAAACAAAGTACATCTAACCATCTTCACATGAGCAAAGTGTTCTATCAACATGACTTTATTTTTGTGAACAGCATCAGTTAGCAATGAAATAGAAACAAGTTTATTAACCCTAGCCCCACCTACAAAGAAATCTCAAGATCTAATGACAGTCTGAATCTGAGGCCTATGTCAACTTTAATTTACATAACCAGGCCTCAGTTGCTAGGGCAGTTACCTTAATTAGTGTGAATAGTGCTTAGAACAACACTGCTAAGATGCTTCATCTAAAAGGAGAAACATTTATTCCTGTGTCCATGATAATATAGTATAAATTGGAATAATCAGTGGGAACAACTACGAGAATTATTTTATATGTTTTCACTTAATTGTGTTTTAATTACTTTGTATTGACAACCAGTTTTATAGCTGAAATGTACAGTAAGCACATCAAGAATTAAAACAGCACAAAAACTTTTGTTATTATTATCATCACTTTCTTGTATACCATTGATTTACATGTGGAGTACCTGCTTTAAAAGTAATCTTAGTATGTATGCTATACAGAAAATTTTAATTTTAACCAAGCCCATCGGTAGTATTCACTCAAGCTTTTGTTAATTTACCATCAGTAGTATTTACTCAAGCTTTTGTTAATTTACCATTATTATGTACAATTCCCATCAGCAATTTGAACTGCTGTACTTGCTCTATAGATTGTTATGATAATGACACGCCTCTTCAGCTCTTGGACACTAATAATGATAGTACAAGAAACCATCTGCACAAATGCTATTGCTTAGAATGAATTTAGGTCCCAATGGCTCAGTTATTCAAACAAGTTCTATTGTGGACCACAATTTTTGATGTCCAATGGACTCTGAAAGTTCCTTGTTAATGGGTTTTTTAAATTTACTAGATCTTCCTTTTGGTGATAAATATAAGGCAGCCTTTTCCAGAGTTTTACAAAAACTTTACATTAAGGTGATAATTTCTACATGACTTCAGATAGTTTAGAGCCTGGTTTAATGAATACAGGCTTGAAGTTATATTTTCATTTATTCCAAATATATTATCATTATGTTAACTTTTGAACAAGGACAAATATAAATTGCCAATTTTTTTTTAACTTGTAACCAATATCCTAAAGTAATGTAAGTAATGTTTTCTGTCATTTTTAAAAATCAAAATGCAAAAAAGTATATAACTACCATTCATTGACAGATGAAGCATAAAAGGACAACACACAAACAATGCACATTTCAAAATTATAATTACTACAACAAGACTTTTTTTACCTGGGGAGAGATCCTGTTGACCTTTCCTCGGAGGAAATGGATACCTGATTTAAAAATATGGAAAAAATAATATTAAGAAACATCACACTAACCAGTATTAAAACAATACATCTCATTGTAGCAAATATCATACAATGTAAGTATATAATATATAGATTTAGCCAAGCCTAAAAGCGGAGCTCGCATTTTTTTTCTCACATGTCTCGACTAGAACCTGGGTCGCCCGACTCCAAGCCCAGTACACTAACCACTGGACTACTGAACAAAGCCGTGGCATTGGTGTGCCTACGGTACAGTTGACCATGCATGTTAAAAGTAGCACCTTGTGTGGTCGTATGGTCGTACGGTCATTCGGTCATACATCCAAATTTTTTCAGCTTGATGGGTTACTACTATTTTGTATAATTATGGGCTACGCTCTGCGAGCTCCACTATCATAAAACACGACTCCAATGCTTTTAAACTTCTGATGAAAATTTCATCATCAAAGAAGTTCCCACAAGTCATAGCAAGCATGGCAATCATTTGTGCACAGATATTATTCCAGGGTGATGGAGGCAGGCTGGAGCAAGTTCTAGATGACTAATTACCAGTGTTTACAACTGAATGGGAGTGAGTGAGTGATTGACTTGTTTGTATATCAGAGTTCCTTAAATTTGAACTGGTTTGAGTGCAAGTAATAATAACTGCAAAAAAATGACTCTGATTGGTTTGGAAAAGGGGAACACACTGTGTCTTGTCATTAAGACCTTTCATAGGGAATTATGACTTGCAAGTGCCAGTCTACACCAGACTTATTGGATACAGAAATCAAGTTTCATAGTTTTTAAAACAAAATGAAATCAATTGCAAATACACGTAGAGTTGCTTTCATTAATAACACACTATACTCACTGGCTTATTCCAGAAAGTGGATCACCCAAAGGGCGATGGTGTGCCATTAGAAAAGAAGAACAAATCTTAAAAACCAGTACAGGATGGCCAAGACCTAAAAAGAGAGATTAACATTAAGAACCATTTGCTGGGTGCAGTCTTTATATTATAGTGCAATCATTATGTTCTGTCACAAAGCTATCACTTTCAATCAGGCTAACAAGGGAGACAGGGCAGGTGGGATGACTATCACTGTTTTATACCCACACACAAAAAGTTTTACATCATTTCTCAGCTTGAAATGAAAAAAAAAAAAAAAATATATATATATATATATTACAACCTTTAAACAAAATACACAAAGAAATTGAAGCAAATATATAATACAGGCCTATGGAAATTCATGTTTTTATACCCTCTCCTCGCCAGGGACCCCACTGTAACTTGGCACCCATGGTGCTAAGACAATTTCTTTATGCTGTGTTACAGTGGGGTCCCCAGCGAGGCTCAGTTTAAAAAGGAGGCAAGGTTACCTAGCTGGTTGTCAACGGTCGTGTGTCAAGGTTGAGGTGGATGCGGGCTGTTAGAAACCTCTAAACTGGAAATTTTTTAAGCTAACTGTGGCTTAGCATCAGTTGCATGGGGAAGATTGAGTTTGTAGTGAATTGAAATGAAACTACAGTGAATGTGATTGGATTCTGCATTGGATTTGTGGCCGCCTGGTCACTTTACACTGGAATTTTTTGCTTCTCAGATTGGGTGTTTGGAAATGGAGTGTTCAGCCTTGGGCTTTTCTTATGTACATTGAAAACCTCGAAATGGACAACTTGCTAAAATGCATTCTTTTCATTAAAGTAAGTGGTCAGATAACAAGCAATATGCTGTGGAAGTAAGGTGAGGTATTTTCTTTGAGAATTTGACGTATTTTTTTATTCCTTAGAATGGTTGTAAATATTCCCATACAAACTCTTATAATTCCACCATGACTGTTATTGTGCAAGATGATCATCCAAAGCTGGAGCTTGGGCCGCCTGTGTCCCAACGTACTTCAATAGGACAAGCAAATGAAGCTCAATGTTTTCTACTATACCTGTTTTATACCTTATTATTATAAAACTGTTCATGAGGGGATGTTAAACTTAACTTGAGATACAATTTAGCCTCAACAGTCTTTTCAAAACAAGTAGCAGTAAGTTGTGAACAATCATACATCAAATTCTATCATCCTGTACACTGTCCTCAGAATGTTAGTGTAAACCCAACAATTTTTGGTGCGATCACTAAAAAGGGTGGCACTACGTTATGAAGCTTCCTTTTCATAACTTAGAGAAAATGTCCGTTTACAAGAACAGCGCTCGAATTTGCGCCTCATTGCTCTTCACGTATTCATACCTTATTTTTATAGGGTACGCACCAAGAACATTAATTAATGTAAACAATGAACAGATAGACATTAAAATATCAGATGTCATCACGCGAACAGGCTTGTTTGTTCCATGCCAAACAAGATAAAATGACATTAGAAACACTTCCGGAAACCATTCTATACATTGGTGCAGTTATTTTAAAACAGTACGTTTTGCAACTTAAATGCATATTTAATCACCTGTGTTAACTGTATCCTGACAACATTAACTCCAGCTTAAGGTTTTTGAGGCAGAATTTTGGGCACAACCTTGTGGATTTACCCTTTCGATTCAAAAAGTTGATTCCTTTCGTTACATGCGCAATAGAATAAGACACGCTGACCTTCATATGTTACCGGCTCATACATTGGTGTGTTCCCACACCTGGTGCCGCAAATATGACATACGAAAGCAAAGCATCTATGTCGTGGCACGGAAGGAGTCATAACGGGTCAATTTATTGACCAATTCCTGTGCAAAGTCCGGAAAAAATATCGAACACGGAATCAGGTTTCCCAGAAATATAAAAACAAGAAACTTTCAAATTTCCTGAAGAGGATTTTTCCACGTTCCAGTACTGATCCTCCAATTGAGAAGTTTGGTTTTAATAATTATATAAATAAAAATGACTCCTAAGTAATTATTTCATGTTTTTAACACAAATAAAAGCGAGTGAAAAAACCGAGATTACATCGACAAAGATTAGCATATAAGCAGCAACGCGGGAACGAGGCCGGGTTGGCTAAGTAGACTTTGAACTTCTCACTGTTTACTTATTCGCCCGCTAAGGAGGTGTGTGTGTCGGCGTGTAAAGTTCTGTAGCCAAAGAACGCGAAAACCGTTTTGAGTAATAGTGTTTACAATCTCTGCTGAGGTGATAGGGTAAATAATCCTTGGAACTTCAACAGGATCAATATGGCTGAAGCTAGACTTGGGGTAGCATTTCAATTCCAAGTGACCGAGGATGGAATTATCGTCAACTTCGACAAAAACGGGCTTAAATCTGTCGGTCGAGCTATGGTGAAATCTGCCAAACGGCGGGTTAAGGTTGCAAAGAAGGCGATTTTAAAGCGATCGTTTCCTGCAACCCCAGCATCTTGGATCCTTCTTGTTGCTGCCTTGGGTGCTGCTCGGTATTCAGAGCATGAAACAACTCTGGGAGTATTGGGAAAGTTGGAACGTGGATTGCCTTGGTAGGTAGAGGCATTTACTAATTGGACTTTGCCCGCTTCGTCGAAGATTGGAAGAACTTTTTTTCTTAGCCCATAAGCCGTTATGAACTTCGTAATAATAATTGATACTGCTTAAGTTGGTGCTATTTACCTCCCATTAGTAAATGTTCTCGCTCTTTTCACTGATTAAGGTTTTGCTATTAATTTTTTTTACAGATAAACTGAGCTTAATTTGGCAAAAATCATCTGACACGATTTAAAATGTGAATCGCGACAAGTTTTATTTTCATCAGATAGTTAATTTTGAATCCTTTATATTTCCTTAAGAAAGAGCAGTTTCATTAAAATGTATGTTTACGTTACTATCATTCAATGCGAGACAGGTGTGAAAATGAAGCTAATAATAATCGAGAATGTATTTCAACATGTGAACAGAACTTTGCCCATTAATCACCGAATCTTGAAGTTTGTTGGGTCAATAAGACCCCATGTATTGCTCTTCGTAAAAAAAGAGCGACAGATGAGGATGTGGCAAATGGGTGTGATCCTAATATTATAATAAAGCTAATAATAATCGTTACTAGGAAGGTTCGTAGGGAAGTTTTGAAGTAGGAACCATGTTCTTAAAGTTGGGCTCTTTTTCAATCTCTGCTGAAGAGACCAGAGGGAAATCTCGATTTTGTAACTGGCCAGTATCATAGGAACTGATGATCATCTCGTTAACTGGATCGAATTAAACCAGAGAAGAAACTTACCCTTTTTCTGCTAACTCTGTATGCATAATTACTTTCGTTATGTTTTGTTTCTTTTGTTAAGTTGATAAGCGAAAAGAGAAAGAACCAGGGAAGAAACTTATTCTTTTTCTGCTAACTCTGTATGCATAATTACATTCGTTATGTTTTGTTTCTTTTGTTAAGTTGATTAGCGAAAAGCCATACCTGTAACAACGATACCCATGCGGTTTGGAAAGGATCTAGGCCGCTTAATTTGTCTTCTTCTATGAGTTTCCTTAAGTCATGTTTTATGAGTCTTTGTTTTGACTGCAATGGCTTGATTTTAGGTAAAGATATCAACAGGAAAAGATATTTTGAATTGAGATGAAGGATTTTGCTTAGGGTTGGGACATAAATAAATCCAAAAATTTAAATTATTTACTCACTAACCAGGCCTGTATTTGGAGGTACTGCCTATCAAAAGAGTTTGATACATGTTCAAGGATAAGGCAGCAGATATTTTGTGTTGTATTATTTTGCCTCAATTTGAGTCGGATATTGGGGGTGGGCCTTAAAGTAATGACAACTAATTTGAATTTCCTCTGCTGACCACGTAGTGAAACTGTACTATGGCTTTCTTGTTTTGGTTTTTTTTTTTAGATGATTATTGAATTTGAGGGTTCAACTTGTGCAGAATACATATGAAAATTGTTTGCTTGGAGTTTTAAATTTATTTTTGTTTCATATTGTATGACATTATCAACTTTGCATTGATAATGATTTTCGTGCTGACACCAACTCAGTTTACATATATATAATGTATATATGTCTTTGTGCTATTTTGGCAATGTCTGTGACACCTACTCATGGATTATTAATTTCTCATAGAATTATGAAAGGCATATGTTGAAAAACATATCACTTTGTTTTGATAATACTTCTTTTTAGCTTTACTCTCTTTCCTAAGCTAGATCTTATCATGTAAATAATTCTATAAATTAATTAAAACTAGATCTTAACTATCTTTTTGGAAATGGTGCTTCTCTTTTATGAATGTTTACTGTTATTTATGCTTAATTTCCTTAATTTTTCTCTCTTCCATTCCTAAATATGTACAGTGTAATTGTATTTACATCAGTCATGCCAATTTCTTTTGAATTTGAAGAAGACGAGATGAAGTAATCTGAATTTTAATGGGATTTTTTTTGTAAATTTTCCTTTCAAATTTTTTTCTACATCTAATTGAAAGATCTGAATGTTAAGAAGAGTCATTGATGTTGTCTGCAGTGTATACTAAAACAAGTTTAGTTAACCTTTGGCACTGTAAGAATGCATATTCTCCATACTGTTCTGTAAACATTTCCTAAGGTGCTGACAAAGAGAATTTGTTTAACAATCAAGAGCTTGTGAAGTTGGTGATCATTTGTTTTCTTCTTGTGATCTAAATGTTTGATTCAGGAGTGATTTGTGTGGAGAAATTAAATGCTAGCTACTCTCAGGGGTTACAGGGTTGAAAACAAAAGTCATTTGTCCAAAAGAAAAACATGTTTAAAATTGTCACACAAAAGACCCAATTAAGGGCACCATTTGGAATCAGTCCAGCCTGTATTTTTGATACTTTTAATCTTTTTAAACTTTTAATGCTCAGATTTCATGGAGTTGTTTTATTTTGTATCAGATAATTTCCAGAGTATGAAATATTAGGGAAAAACTAATGTTTATCATTCATTTTTTTTTTAAACACAGGAGTCACAATTTAGATCCCAAAACAGTAATAGCAGTGGCAGTGTTGGTGTGTGCAACAATACTGTGGATGCTGTTAGGTCACATTCAGCAGTTCACCTTGCGCCAGCTGTTGCGTTATAGAGCATTTCTGTATGAACCAAGAGGGTAAGAGTACTTGACTTTGATTTCATGATAGAAAACTCAAGATATAAAAAACTTAATAAATGAATTACTCATAAAAACAATTGTATTCTTTTGTTGTAGGAAGCTGTCATTAAAAACTAAGTGCTGGCTGGTATGTTTCATTTAGTTGACATGTTTAGTCTTTGTGGTGAATATTATTTTCAAAATTTATCATCCTTTACTCTCATTCTTTCCTCTTGTGACTTCAGGGATTAGTGAAACTCCTTGGTGGTAAAAACCCAACTTTGTACAGTTATGAGAAGTCTTTGCCATCTTTGCCTGTTCCAGATCTCAATGCCACTACAGAGAGAGTAAGTTATATGTTAATTTTCTCATTTTTGAATTAATTTCTGATCATAAAAGAAACTCAATGTCACAATACTAAAATTATTTCATTTTTCAGTATTTGCGTTCTGTTAGACCTGTTCTTAGTGAAGAAAGATTTAAAAAGATGGAAACATTAGCAGAAGAATTCAAGGTTTGAGAGAGCTTTAATTAAATCAAACTTTCCTGTTAGTTATATTACCTATTTTAATTTATTTATAGATATTGACTGGGCATGTGCTTGAACAATAAGTTTTGTACATATATTGACTGCCTAGTGTAGGTTCTGAAATTATATTCTGGCAGACAACTTTATTTCCCACTTTTTAACTATTTTTAAGTAACTGATTTGTTTATTATTTTTGTGTCTTTTATGATTTGATATTTTGCTTTATAAATAAGTTTGTCATAAATTGTTCTAACAGTTGTATGTTAATTCTCTGGGAGTTATAACTATAAAGTTGATGTGATTTGACAAATTCAGTTTTCAAGTAAAGGGTTCAATGATGGTCTTCATAAGTAGCCTGTTTCACTTATGGCTGCAATTAGGTTTTGTCACACACAAACCACAGCTCTTCCCCAGAATCATACATTTGTGATCTAAGGTAGCTTTGACACACTTTTTAATGTTATTTTTCTTTAGAATGGTCTTGGGAAGAAGCTACAGCGCTACTTGGTCTGGAGATCCTGGTGGTCCACAAACTATGTTAGTAAAATAGTTAATAGTCATGGGCACCCTCCTAGTCTGCCTGTTGGGTACTAGTCATAAAATTTGTATTAGGATTACAATTTACTTCAGTATTAGTAAGAGTTTTCAATGAACATTGACTTTTATTAATCTAAACTAGTCATTAAACATACCTTCAGGTGACTGCACATACAGTAAGGTTTAATTGCCTTTTCACGATTTCTCTCTTAGGAAGTTTTAATAAATTGAATTAATTTGTATTTTGTCCTGAAATCTTTGTGAACCTGGTAACATATCTATCTTAAACTAAACACTTAGTTAACATTGTTCTTACATATTAAATTTTATTTTAACCCTTAGTTATCACATGTGCTTTCCATTAGTAAACTTACAGCTTGTTATTTTGACCAATGACACTGCATATATATGTTAAGCGAGGGATATGATAAAATTTATGTCACTGTGGTAATAATTTATCTGCAACTAATTGTGTGCTTGACTTTTAACAGATCAGTGACTGGTGGCAGCAGTTTGTGTATCTTCGCTCCAGGGAACCTCTTATGATCAATAGTAACTACTATGGAGTGGTCAGTATCTTTCAGTCTTATGATTTGATATTAATTGTGATGTAGATAAATGTAAAAGATGCACACAACTAGTAGTAGAAAGTAATAGAAGTGAATCCAGGGCTGACTATCAACAACCTGGAACCATTGGCAGGTAAATCTACAATTGTGTTGGGTTTCACAAACAACTGCAGTCATTAGTGTAAGATATGGTTGAAAAACATGGCAAATTGATTTTGCTCTTCGTAAAAAAAAAAAGTTAAGAGTCAAGGTTCCTCACACAGGTATTTCTTACCTTTGTGTAAACTCTTTGTTTAAAAAACTTAGATCCAGACAGACCCTGTTTATTTTTCTCTTATATTATATGAAAATGTTTTCCTTGGTTTTTTGATGGCTAGTTTCTGTTATAAGTTTATATTTTGAAATATTAGCCACATTTGTGGTACTGCAGCTGTTTTGAGTTTTTTTTTCACCACACCATTTTATCCAGGACTCTGTGGAGGTTCCATCATCAATACAAAGTGCAAGAGCAGCCAATATAATTTATGCCATGTATGCGTACAGAAAACAGATCTTCAAGGAAAAACTGGAACCTGTAAGTTTAATTTATAATCACTTTACACAATAATTACTTGTTGAAGGCCCTTGAAGTTTATGAAATTTACTATTTTAAGTCCATATTAGAGGTGCATTCCTTTTGGAAGTTTTATAAATAAAAGGAACACAACCATAAGTTGGAATTGAATCACTCTACTCATTTTAGGAATAGTTAAAAAAATATAACATTATTAAAAAAACTTTTTAGAAAAACTTTTTAGAAAAAATTTTTACCCTTTATGGTGGCTAATTTATGTTTTCGACCCAGTTGTTCACACTAAATTACCTTTTTAGCCAATAGTTAATCCCCTTATCCCCTTGTTCAAAGTTTGGATAATGCTGTCCACTGGATAAAACTCTATTCAAAGGATAAAACTATATGTTTAGCTATCACTTACAGATCTGCTGGATAGTGATTTTTCTGTTGGATAGTGTTATTTCCCTTTTATACAACTGGGCCCAGAAGACTATTTTGATTAAAACAAAAACTCAATTTTGAGTTGTAGAAAACTTGTCATTGTTGATATTTAGTTTTATAAATGAATGCACCCCCCTTGTTGAGGTCTGTTTGGCAATAGTGGCTGCTCCTAGTGATTAGTCAGGAACTTTTACTTGATAGGTAGCTTCTAAAGAACATTCAGACGTTAGTCCATAACTGTAATATGGTTTCGTTTGCAGCAATTTGCAATGGGTTTAATCCCACTTTGTTCAGAACAGTTCAGGAAAACATTTAATACAACTAGGATCCCACTGAAAGAACAAGGTGAATGTAACAATCATTTTCTTCTGGTTGAGGTTGTTTTTCTCCTGTACCATATGCCTCCTTACATTACTTGCATTAACTGTATCAAATGGCTGTTACATCCTTTTCATCCAATATTACAATATTGTTTATAATAATTCTTATCTATAATAAAATCTTGTTTGGGCACTTGGTTTGATTGACTGTCAGCTCAGTTTAGATAACCCTTTCTCACCATAATTTGTTCGAATTTGTCGTGCACAATACTGTAGTTAGGGAACCCTTAAAATTAGTTTGTCAGTTTTTGTTTGTGGCATTTTTACTTTTAGATCACCTCCATCACCATGGTTCAACATCCCATACTGTTATCTATCATCGTGGAAGATTTTTTAGACTTGAGGTCTTTCATCGTGGACAGTTATTGAAGGCTGCTGATCTGGAAAAGTATGTCTTATTATGTATTTTGCAGCTTCTTAGAAAATAGGGTAAATGACAAAGCTGTTTTAAGGGGAATACCTGGGTGACATAAGGCCCTTGTTTTACAAAAACATGGGGTGCTCAGATCTTACAAGCATATTTAATTAACTTCTCAAAAACAAAAGTTGACATACCAGGTCTACTATTGCACAGTTGTGAATATTATTATTCAAAAGAAATCTGTATCAAGGAATGTTCTTAACTTTTGATAAATCCACAGTGTTGAAGTATTGTCATTAGACCCTTACCATGTATACTGCTGTATAATTAAAGTGAAGGAAGTTGTGCTCTAATGAGAGAATCTTCCTTCCCTGAGCAACAATTAGAGGATTAGGAAATACATGTATTTGTGCCAGGTTATTGTTGCCTGAATAAAGGTGCAATTTTTTCATAAGAATCTTTTTAAGATTCTGGTTGGCAGGGTTGAAAGTTTTAATGACATTTATGACATTTATGAATGACTTACAGTCTAAGGCCATTGTAAAACAGTTCATAGTATTTTATGGTTAAGCTGCACTATCAAACTTTTTGTCATAATAAACTCATTCCATGATTTTGTTTGTTAGACAAATTATAAAGATCCTGGAAGATGATTCAAAGCCAGCACCTGGAGAAGAACTTTTACCAGCATTAACTAGTGCTGAGAGGTATAATGATGACACAATACTGTTAACAAAACATATTCTTGTAATTTACAATCCATGTCATTTCAATGGAAAAATATTTCATTAAAGTACTTTGTTGCAACCTTTACTCAAACATTTCAGAAATCTGTGGGCTGAGACAAGAAGTACATACTTCAGCAAAGGTGTCAATAAGGAGTCTCTGGGTTGTATTGAGGATGTAAGTGAAACCATTTGTCACATCCATGTAGCACAAAGAAAAATTTAAATCTCAGCTAGTTCTGAAGGTTGAAGTTTATAAATTAGATGTGACACATCCCTTGCATGGTGTAAGAATTGACAATACAGAAATGGTTGTCCTAATTGTCAATAAAGCTCAACATCTATCATCTTTCTCACTCTACCTGTAGTGTCTAATGTCAAACTGTTATAAAATAATCACTTCATCCATGGAGACTTTCAAATTTAATTTTTCTGTATTTCACTGTATCTCCTGCATGAGATGCTGGTCCATTTCTTGTTACCTTTGGTATTTTTTCAGGTTTCCTCAATAGTTTGTGAGTAAAATCATTAAAAATATGATTATTTTGTATCATTCGCTAATGTGTGTGAGGGAATCTATGTTGTTTATTTTCCTGTTGTTTGAAAATTTTTCAGGCTGCAGTTTTCTTGAGTCTGGAGGATTTGTCATTGAATTATGGACAGGTAAGAGCATAATATTTTGAATGTTAAGACTTAAATGTAAGTAGTAGATTTGATATATTCTGTGAAAGTGGCCTCTTGAAAAATGTTGGAGCTGTTCCTTAGTTATCCTGTGGTATTGGGAGCTTACTATAAAGATTTAGTGATAACTAATCACCTGCTCATATATTTTTGAAAAACAGGAAGATTCAGAAGACATGGACTCTCTCTGTCGATATCTGCTTCATGGCAATGGTCACAGTTGCTGGTTTGATAAATCATTCTCTGGCTACGTCTTCAAGAATGGCAGGGTAAGAGCCAAGTGGTAGATGATCATAATGGTAAAGTAGTGTAGCTCATGTTTTACCACAATTGACAGTTATGTCTCATTCAGATTGGCCAATTTTTGGTTGTTGACAAGAGTACAGAGAACATTGCTAGCCTCAACCTGTCACACAATGCCTTTAACAGCTCTCAAACATGGATCACTTGGAAATTTTAACATCAATAATCTGGTTAAAAAAGCAATTTGATGGTGTTTTAGTGGAGTCTGTACTCATATCAACTACAATATTCGTCATCACAGTGGTCCAAATTTGTTGCAAACTATAGCATTTTGACTGCTGTGATGAGGAATCTTGTCATCCATAAGAAAATTGGCCACACTAAACCACTGGCGGTTAGTGAACTGTACATTCCATCTTTGAACTTACCATCTGCATGACAGAGAGTATTGAACATGCTGAAGAGAATAATGATTTGTGACAAAGTCCTTTAAATTTAAAAGTCTTTATTAACTTAAGAGGCCCCCTCCTTCCACACATTGTTTGAATACAGCTGAAAGGTTAGATAAAGTATACTCCTTCTTGTATTAAATAAGGGTGGGGAAGGAAGGCCAACATCATACATGTGCATTCAGATAGGAAAAATTAGACTAACTGATATAGTTAGAACAATTACATTGTTCTGCTATTGTTGTTCAATTGAAACTTTTCATTTTCAAGGACTTACAATTATGAGACAGTGTGTATTGATGCTGCATAATTTGAGTGTGTTCTAGAAATTTTATTTATTTATTTATTTATTTATTTATTTTTTGCAGTTTGGCATTTGTGCAGAGCACTCATGGTATGAACACTTTATACTGTCTTGTATAAAATAATCTCTCCAAGATATACAGATATACACACAGTCTAGTAACATTTATGCTCTTCCATGCTCTTGACCAATGATTATTTCACAAAAATATCAAATGAAATGAACATAACAAGTTCAAACTTGGTGAGATTGACAGTTAAGGGTTGATTTTGAGAGATTTCAGTCCATGAAGGGTGTGTTACTGAAGGTATTCTGTCAATGCCTCTCAATGCCCAAGTCACCAATGAAGGTAGGGGGCCAAGGGGCTGCAATGGCAGTCACACCCAAATGCCCCTAGAACACTTAACTGGCATACCCAACCTGCAACCCAGCCACAAGCTCTGTGCATGTCACACTAGAGCCAGATGGCTCAATGGAAGGAAAAAAATAATGAATAGGAATAACTTAATAAACAAATAAAAATAGATAGATGAACAGATATAAAACCCTGGACAAAAATTCCTCCAGTTAGGGATGAGAACCGCTATCCTTAAGGATGACAACGCCACACTACAGAACAGCGAACACATTGCAAATACATGGAAAGACAATGCATGCACTGATTAAAAATACCACTGGACAAAGACAGCCCCAGGGGTTCAACAACCAGATGATAGCTGCTGATGCTACAAAATGCAACAAATGCAGTAAAAATGCCAACAGAACAGCTGCAAAATGTTACTGACCAAAATTTGCCCCTAGTCTTCAACCATGTTAAATTCCTTTTAACCATATTAAATACACTGCTCACAAAAACAATTATGCAGGTTTAAGAGTTGAGTAAAACATACTGTTAAGACAATAGGCAAATGTTAAATTTAAGATTTTCTATACATTTTTAGGGCAGATGCTCCTATTGTTTCTCATCTTGGGGAGTTTCTTATGATAGAAGACATCCAAGTTATGGGGCAAGTAATCAATTTTAGTACTGTAAGGTTATCAAACATGCAAACTGTTTTTGTTGTTTCCCACATGGTTGGTTATGGTGTCAGCTTTTTTCAATTGTAACAGAAAAATCATAAACAACTTTGTGATTATGCAACCCACAATTTGCTTGGATAGCTCGTTTTGTGTTTGTTCAGGTCCTTATGTTGATTTGTTGTTGATGCTGATTTGCTTATTTTGAACTTAAGTTCTGGATATCTTCATATGAAGTAGACCACATTGTATACTTTGTGTACATTTCCATATTTTTTTAAACCAGCTTACTTAACCTGTGTGAGCTGGCATTGGTTTGCAGTTTACTTGCAGAAGAGGGATTTTACTCAACAATCTCATAACAACAGTGTAGCACTCCATAGTCATTAACTCTAACAACTATCTTCAGATACAAGGAAGATGGTCACTGCAAAGGTGAGCCAGAGTTTGGCCTACCCCCACCAACAAGGCTCAAGTGGGACATCCCTGAAAAGGTGTGGTACTGCATTCTTATTTCATGAACTGTTTATACTGAAAGGTAAAATGCTAAATGTTTTGGTCATGGAAACCCCAACAAGTTTTGCTATCAAGTTTTCAAACATTGGCATGCTACATATACAAGAGTTATTTTGTTGGCTGGGTGGGTTGAGGTGGACAAGTTGTACAATTGATGTTTTAATTTTTTTATAGAAAATCTTAAGTTCCATGTGGAATTTTTCCCAAGGTTTGGATAATGTAGTTAGAAAATGTGATAAACTGCAGATTCTTTGCAAGGAAATGACACTCGATGGAACAAAGGCTAATTGTGCAAAATGGAAATTGATTGGTGGAATACAAATTAAGCTTGTGAAAACTTGCCTAGTGTTCATGTTGTGCAATGACTGGGTATGTTCTGATTGGACTTTGGATGTTGTTTTCATATCATGTGATGGAATGTAAGTTGTTTTCCATGTACTTTGAGAGTAAAGGAGCAGAAAAAAACATGCTTAACATAAAAATGTGACGCGAACGAGTTATTGTGTGACAGCAATATCGTAAAGACTCATGTTAATCACTCAGATTTTTTAACGAACACTTGGCTTTCTAGACAAGATCTTTAGTAAAAAGCAATTCTTTTTATTTGCAACAAAGTTTATAAGGATCTCAAGGCGAATAAAGCGACGTTAACATCGCCAATGAACAAAATTGGCTGTAGACGCCAATGAGTTGTGTGAGTCATTGGTGATGTTTACTTCGCTTTATTCGCCTTGAGATCCTTATAAACTTTGTTGCAAACAAAAAGAAATGCTTTTTACTAAAGATCTCGTCTAGAAAGTCAAGTTTTCATTAAAAAATCTGAGCGATTGACATGATGAGTCTTTACGGTGTTGTTGTCGCACAATAACTCGTTCGCGTCTTAAGCTGTTATAGTCATTGGTGATGTTCACCAATGTTCACCAATGTTTAAGCTTCTGTTAGATGTTCACCAGTGTTTTTTTACTAAATATCGTTTACTTTTCTGTAGGTTTAACTTCTAGTAAGTTGTATTGGATTGACGACCAACTCGCCGACGTCTCTACTCGATTTTATACGTCGGCGAGTTGGCGTCGGCGAGTTGGTCCGTCGGCGAGTTGACCGTAATTCGACGAAATGTAACTTATTAGTTAAGTTACCATTCTTCTTCTAAGAATTTACTTGGTAATTGAACACAAAACAAAGAATTAAAAGGGACCCTGAGTAGTAATGACTCTGAGAACAATGTGATGGACCACCAGATGGTACTTATGGATCAACTTGCATGAGAAAGAAAAGGCATTTGAAAAGTTCCAGAGAATTTGAAGCCAGGGCTATTGGAAACTATGCCACTGCTATTGTTTTGAGCCTTTTGTCATATTCTATACACATGGTTAATTTTGGTCTTAGAAAAATAAGACATTTTTCATTGACCATTAATTACTGGAATTAATTATAATTGGACCTTTTTTTCCTTCTACTCAGTGTGTTTCAATCATCGAGTCTTGCCAGGAGAATGCAGAAAAACTGATCAATGACCTTGACCTCCATGTCCTTGTACACACTGCTTTTGGTAAGACAATGCTCAAGATAAATTACTTAGAAATGCAGTGGCCTATTGGTCACTGTGTTTAGAAATGAATTAAGGTGTCTTGAATCAAGGTTTGTCTTGTGTTCTTGAGTAAGAAAGCAAACCCTTTGACTCCTAGAAGAGGGTGAATGTAAACTTCTCACAATTTCATTACCTTAGCCATTAAAAAGATAACAAGAATCAACAGATTTATCAGCTAGGGGGTAATGACTTGATAAAACACCTAATTCTTCCAACAAATTTACAGAGGAATGTACAGCAGTTAGAAAGGGAGAATTACCTGTTACATCTTCAGGTATAATAGGTTTAAAAAAAGCTGCTGTACAATGTTTGAACTGTTTTCTGTAGTATGCAAAATTATCTGTAACACTTGGTTGATCATCAACTATGGGTAAGATGTTGTTTAGAGCTCTTTGTCATGAGAAGTGGCTAACACTTGTAATATGTTAGCTTTCTGAATTGTCTACTGTAACTAGCTTTTCTCTTTCTAATCAATGTTTTGAATGTTCATTGATGACAACACAACCATTTCGTTACAAACTAATCAGAACCCTTCTCATTTCAAAATAGGGGCTTGGTTGTCAATTGTCACACTTGGATTTGCATCTAGCATGAGCTAAAACTGAAAAAGAAAATTACAAAGAACCAAATAGTTTTCTCATTGACATTTTTCAATATTTCTAATTTTAGGAAAGGGTGCCATTAAAAAATGCAAATTGAGGTATGGATATCCTGTTTATATTGCAGTTGTTATAAATCACCTTTGCCTCAGACATTTTGCAGAGCAAAGGAATGGCACACAGCAACAGAGAAAAACATTTTCTTTGCTTCTGAGACCCTTCACAGATAAACCCAGAATTCATAAAACCCATAATCCTGTAAGAACTTCTGACTCAATTGAACACAACCTAAACAGTCGTTGTTGATGTTCTTTTAAAAGTTGGCACTGAAAAACTGGTCTTCAGATTTACTTAAAAAACGGTGGCAGTGGCTTAAAATCGTAGAATGCATAGCAGCAAAGGGTTGTCTAGTTGGGTGAAGACACTTAAGAAGACAAGTTGCTACTACTTGTTACAAGGAAAATTTGGGATAACAATGTGCTTCATGCCAATAAAACTTTGTGTAAAACTTTGTTCAAATAAATCTTTGTCTCTATTGCTAAGATTTGTTTTTGCTGAGGCACAAATTCAAACTGGTTTGAATTTCGAATTGAAAATTTCATGCACAAGAGATGTTGCAAAATCAATCTAGCATTTAAAGTTGCAACATTTATATTAAGGGCAAAGTGTTTCCATCACACATAGTTACTGGTACATACATGTACCAAGGAGTAGGAAATTAATCATTTTCAAAAATTTTGCTTGTGCTTTTGTCCTCTTCCACAGCCCAGATGCTTTTATTCAGATGGGTCTTCAGCTGGCCTACTTCAAGGTTTGTCTTTGCCAAATATGACTTTCACCTTCCTCTATATTCATTTAAATTTCGTAGAGGTACAGGGTGTACTCTTTAGCAGTTAAATATCGAGTTCTTCGGGAACGCAATTCATAAAAATGGATTTTGTTGTCGCTGTACCTTAAAGTATTCTTCAGATTAGAAAAAAGGAAAGTTAAAGGGAGCAGGAAAATTACTAAAACAACCTTAAAGAAACCAGAATTTTCTCTAAGTTATGTTAGAAAGGGGCCTCTTTTTGTTGAGGGAACGTGCATTTAACATGTTATGAAAATATTTCATTGTTTTCAGGATCAACAATCTTTCAGTTTAACTTATGAATCCTCCATGACAAGACTTTTCAGGTAACAGGTCATTTCCTTCTTAGTCCTCAATATTTGCTCGTTGTTATTACGGTATATAACTGGGAGGTACCCCCAGTGATGGTAACTAGGGCCGTATTTTACCCTTACCAAAGCGGATGCAAGCTGAAACCAATCTCTGTGATCCAGTCGCGCTTGATTTCTGTTACGTGTAAGTACTTTAAGGTCTCACTGGCTCCATATGATGTAACCTTTGCTCCGATCGCTTTGGTTTTGCGTTCTTTAAGAGTCGCTTGGTTCCCTTGACTTTGGTTTTGACTGACATAGTCAGTATGATCAGTCAACCCTTTAACTCCCAGAAGTGATTAACATGAAACTTCTCCGTATAATATCCATTCATTAATCAGCAAATAGGTAATGAGAATATTCAGACCTATTAGGTGGAAGCTGCTATCTTGATCTAGCAGCAAGTTCTCATAACTAATTTACAAGGAAATGTGTAGCAGCTAGAGGGGAGAGTTAACAATCAGATTTTGGGAGTGAAAGGGTCAACGTAACTAATTCTCAGCCCCCTCTCTCCCCCAATTTCACTGATTTTATCTTTTGCTACTTTCAGAGAGGGCCGCACTGAAACAGTCAGACCCTGTACCACTGAGTCTTGTGCTTTTGTCAGGGCAATGCTTGACCCCTCTTCTAAGGTGGGTGTTTTTTTTTTTTGGTTGTTGTTGTTATTTTTTCACTTTTAACTCGCGAAAGTTACTAACATGTAACTTTTCTTCACACTTTCCACTAATAGAACCAGACGGTTTTCTCTTGATTTAAAACCAAATTCTTTAAACTACGTTACAAAGGTGAATTGTATGAATTCACCTATATTAGCTTCACATGCGCAATCAGGTTAGGCTCCAACAGAATGAACCATCTAGCTCATAACTGGCTGGCTTAAAATGTTCGTGCTATCATTCGGTGGACTGTTTAAACTCGTCAAATTTCTTTAGTTCTTAATTTATCAGCCTGGGATACAAACAATTAAAGTGATATGTACTTCTCATTTGTTATAGAAATCTGAGAGGAGAGAGCTACTTGAGAAAGCCGCGGAACTTCATGTCGATGGTTTCAGAAAGGCTATGTCTGGAGCAGGTGAAAATAAAAAAGTTAAAGATTTTCAACCCCCTTAAAATTTTCCTCTGCAGGCTGTAAACTTAATATGACAACTAGCCATGTAGCCATTTTTACGAAACCTTGAAATAGGCAAAAAAAATTTTGATGCTAGCGGGACTCCAGACGCGACCCTTTACGTAACATTATGCAGGGCTCGAAGTTAACTTTTTGGTCGACTAGCAAAGTTTTGCTGGTAAGATTTTTTTCCACTAGCAAACTGGTGAGATCACTAGCAAATTATTTCCTTTTGAAATGTCAATGACCATATCTGATATAAAGATTAGAATTGATATTTCGCACAGGCTATTAATGAGCTGAAAAGTTTTATAAAAAAGGTGGTAAATGTTTGGTCTCCTTTGTCGTTGTCCTGACAACCACCACCTCTCTACTGCATGTTTGGGAGACATGGATGATTCTAAATAACAAACGTTTGCTAGTGGAAATTTTTCTCACTCGCAGATTAACAAAATCACTCGCATTTTGCCAGTTTGCGAGCTTTAATTTCGAGCCCTGATTATGAACAGACGACTCTGTATGCATAAAAATAAAATCATTGTAAAATGTTATGGAAGTAATTTTTTTGTTCTCAATAGGTGTCGACCGTCATTTATTTGGCTTGTATGTTGTATCCAAGTACTTAGAAGAGGACTCACCGTTTCTGAAGGAGGTTAGTTTCTTTGATTTTTAAGGAGTCTATTGCCGAATTGTTGAGCGTCCAAAAAGATTTGGGATTTTTTTTAGCTTTTCTGTATTTCGTACTGTGATTGGTCTAGAAAACTTGTTGTACCGTCTGACCACTGGAAACTGCAAATCTTAAAGCACATATTTTTTCCTGCGCTCAAGACAGTCTGCTAATTTTAATCTAGTTCGTGTTTGCTCCTTTGATGCTTTCTTTTGTTTTGGATTCACAATAGTTTTTGCTATTATGGCGCTCAATCAAAATGCACTTTGTACACCGTCTGGACATTCGCAGTAATGTCTGTAATTTTTTCTCTTGCAGGCTCTCAAAGAACCATGGAAACTGTCCACAAGCCAAGTAAGTACAGCTGTATGTAATGAAATCTTAAATGAAGCATGGTGAAGCATAGTGTGTATATGACTGCTTGACTTCCAGAACCAGCCTACTCCAGGCAGTCAGTTTGTTGATGAAGGGGGTGATAAAGAGGAACTAGGAATAGAAAAGAACGAGGGGGCGTTGGGGGGATTAAAAACCTAATACACTGGGCCGATATTCTCTCACCCGATCGTTCGTTTGTTTCCATTTAACAAGAACTTGGCACAGGCTCTCCAGAACAAGTGTCACGTATGAAGAAAAAAAGATTATTAGATTGTAGGTCGAAGATTTATCGTCGGTGCCATTTTATAACTCGTTTCCCCTTCGTACCACATGTAGAATAGCGAGCGAAATGTTGTTGTTGTTGTTGTTGGTTTTTTAATTTGGTTACGTGATGTGCTGTTTGCATTGAAATGCTCTTCGCATTTCAGACTGCAACCCAGCAAACAAATAGAGGAAACTACATCAAGCATCCAGGAATGAAAACGGCTGGAGGAGGGTTTGGACCTGTAAGATAACTTTCTATATCGTTAAGCTATCCTTTCTCAAGAAATCATAGGGTACTTCGCTGGCTAGTCTTACAAAATTTGGTTCTACATCAAAATCACATATCCTGGTTAGTAGACAAATTGATTCATGCGTTTTTGAGAGGGCTACTCCTTCAGTTACTCTTAGAAATGGAAGCCGTAAATTAGCAACTACATGTATGTGTAAAATAATTAAATGACTGAAAATAAGTAATACGTAAAAGCGGCAAACTATACTTGCAAGTTAAACTAAATAAAAATGAAAATAGGATTCAGAAGTGAAACAATTACTAAATTTCTATTATCAATCAAACAGCCATGAAGATCAAAAGACTTCCTGTAAATGGTGGTGTCCTAAATCCTCGTTACGAAAGCCTGTCTTCTTCACTTTGTTTTAGAATTAGTAAAGGAGTTTGCACATTAAGTTAAAGGCTCAGAGTGGGTTTCTTTTAGGTGTAGCTGTCGCAAACTGTTTTCTACCTATTCTTATTTAGTTATTTATCTGTTTGCTTTATTTTTATTTGTATTCTTTTTGGGAGGGCTGTTGAATCTGATATTTCACAAACTTGCAAACCTTATCTCGTTCGATAGGTTCAGATCGGTTCTTTGATTGTAAAGTTTTGTTTTAGTTTCACCGGTCACTACCGAATTACAAATTGAATATCCCCTCAGATGACAAGTGTTGTTATCTTTTATCAGGTCGCTGATGATGGTTATGGAGTATCGTACATTATTACTGGTGAAGATGTCATCTTCTATCATGTCACATGCAAGGTTTCGTCCCAGCTCACTGTAAGTATTTCAATTGTCTGTGCTTGGTCAGTTCTGACAGAAAGATATTTTTCTTCTTGACACGAGCGTGAGACAGCGGAAAGATTCTGAGGAGTCAAACCTAAGAGGTACAGATTCCACACGCTAACGCTCTACCACTGAGCTACAGATACTTTCTTTGCTGAGGGAGGTCATTACACTTTGCTAGCTTCATACGTGACATGGCTGGTCTTGCGTCCAGTCGAAAGCGTCATTTGTTTAAATCGAATAAGAGAGATGGTTAATTCTGAGTCGGTAATAAGATACGTCTTGTCGCGACTTAGAAAAAAATTCTGACTCCCATATTCAATTCTTGTTATTGCAGAATTCCCCTTGGGCAGTTTTATGTAGTTCTGGCACGATTGATATTAGTTAGGGTGGGTCGCAGGTGTTCCAAAGTCAGTTTTTCTCTGGAAGTTCCTCTCGAAGTTCGAACTAAACTGTTTTACTGCACTTAAACTTCTTTTCATTTTTAAATACTTTCTCGCGTTCTTTCCTCACAGGATTGCAAACGATTTTGTGCAAATATCAGGGAGAGCATGGCAGAAATGAAAGCTTTGTTCGATTACTAAACCGCAAAATCCATTAACATGAGGTTCAGATCAGTTTCTTTGGATGCTTTTGTACCAAGCCGAGGGACTTTTCTGACTAGCTTTCGCTCTTTTTGAGTTTCCTATGTTCAGCTGACACACCTAGCCCTCCCATCCCTACAAGAAATAGGATGCTTTCTCTCTCCCCCTTCCAAATTGGCTACCTCAGCTGGCACTTTATAGTTTCAACACAACATAAAAACCTCCGGAATATGTAAGGAATTACTGACCAAAATATGAGCGATTCAAATTTTCCCCTCCTCCCCCGAAAAAAAAAAGAGAGAGAGAGAGAGTAGAAAATGTGTTAGTTTGATATAGGATATTCAGACAAGAGTTTATATAAAGTAACTAGGAGTAAATTTATTGCATGGGAATTCGAGGTTGCACATATTTTCATTATTAACGGGAGCGAAACGCGAGATGCTTTTTCAGCTTCATTTGGTATCGGAGAATTTCACCTAATATTTTTTACAATACTTGAATATTTAATACTGTTTCACTAGTATCTGTAAAAGTTTGCAGAGTAAAAATGTAAACTATCCCACAGAATAGATTTTCATTCATGTGACAAGCGGCCATTTTTGTTTCCTCAAACGAAAGAGAATTTACAACGCATGGCCGAGGTGAGGTCACGTGATAACGACGGAAAGCCTTGTCTCTCTGTGTCGTTAAAAGCCTGGTCAAACGCACGCACCATTTCAACAGAAAACATCTTACAACACTTTTGGATCGTGTTATGAGATGCTGTGAAGGAGATGGCCAAACGCGCGCAACAGCTTACAACATCCAAAAATGTCGCAACACAAATATGGCCGTTTTCCACCTGATCCAACCCTATCCAACATCTTTCAACATGTAGCAATATGTTGCCATAGGGTGTCCAAACGTGTCTAACACGTTGTTTTCTACAATGTTGCGTTGAAATGTTGCGTTCGTTTGGCTGGGCCTTTACACAACGTATCTACCTGTTTCGTTGCGTGACGCTTCAGTTCTTCTCGATGCGTTATATTACAACCTAAATAGTTTTAATCAAACCGACAACTTTAGGTAAGAATTCCATAAATTATTCTAGCAACAGCCATAAGATCTTTTGAATATGTTTTAGGTTAAGTTAACATAATAGTATGTTATAATGCATGGTAGTTTAGAGTGATTTTGACGTTTATAACAAATGAGTAGACTTAGTTTTAAAGGATACAGTTTAAATAGTTTCATGAATGAAACAAAGTCAAATTTAAGAATAGTTAAGTGCCAGACATTGTGTTACGCAGCGAAATTATATGCAATAAGAGCTAAATTGAAGAAATGGCGTGGGCGAGAAGGGAGCGCACCAGGAAATGTGGAAAGAAAGTCTAGGAAATGCTGTTGAAGGTTAGAGCCGCGTACGGATGCGATTGCCACGCCGAAGCTAGGAGAAGACACTTTGATGCGTTATAGTGCAAGAAGAGACCGAAGAGTTTTTCGAGCTCACAGCTTATGGGTGGCTCTCCTTCCAAACGTAATGCGTAGTACAGGTGAACATAAATTTGCAGAGATAGATTCCGGTGCCCCATGAACGCCGCTTTGGTACTTACTTTTTTCTTATTTCCCTTTTTTTTTCGTTTGGCAATGCTACTGGCACGCACATTATATTAGATTAACATGGGAAAGAGGGATTGCTCGTAGAGTACTGTCTATTGAAATGGCAAACGTAGTATTGCGCATTGCAGTGGATAGCAAGTTTCTCGGTAGTTTTGTGAACTTAAAAAAGGTCAACGGCTAAACGTAAATTTTTAAAATAATTTAAGAGTGAGGTTTTAGTGTTAGTGTGAAGAATATTTCCTTAATAAAATCTTATGATTAAGATAGGACTTAACTAATGACCGCTTTCTCGATTCCGAGCTTAGGTCTACACTGAGAAAATTCTTTGGAAAACGATTGCGTTAAATTTCGAATTCTTCACTTCTTTGTAATCAGTTTCCTTGCTCGGATCAACAGACAGAATTAGACGATCAGGTGTTCCAAGTAGTTGGAAGCAGTCGCCGAATAATATTTTAAGAGGTTGAATTAAGAGGCAACAAGCAGTCCCAGCGCATTTCAGCTTTCAACACCAATATGCTGTTATACTTAGGGGGACGAACTTACACTAGGGCGAAACCACCATAAACCGTTCTATCAAGGCAAGATCTAGAGGGATTTATGGAGGTTTTGTCCCGTTGCAAGTTCGCTCCTACCACCTTTGCGAGTTTGCCTTCAGTAGTAAAGCAAGTTCGCCCCCTACTTGAACTCGTTTCCCAACAGCAGAACAAATTCATTTTCCATCGAAGTCATACTGTATTTTGATCCATCAGTTAGTCTTTGTGGTACCAAGTATTATTAAGGCGCGATACCCGCACGAGATGAAAAACCACGAGACGACTAAAGCTAGGAATTCTTCAACAGCCTTCGTAACGATTCCTTGTTTGTGGTCAGACAAAAGTTATCCTTGCAAATGTATCTTTGAAATTTAGAGTGATCAGTGCATCATGAAACTTCGCGAAAATCTTTTTCCTTTGAAGGGAGAGCATTTCTCCGTTTTTATTGATATAGATCCAAAGAAATAATCTTTCAGTTCTATAAAAAGCGGGAAACATCTTAAAATAATTTCATAGTGGCATCCACCGACGCATAATTTAAATCAAAACTTTGTCAAGTAGAAGTATCTCAGTAGATGTGATCTGCTCATCATGGAAGCCATGACGAAATTTTTCATTGAAAAGAGAGCATTTTACTGTTTGAATCGGCGACTTAGGCCGAAATAACTGAGCGAGCAAGCTGCGAAATACAATACCTTGAGTTATTCAATAGGATGATAGAACGGAGGAAAGGTAGATCGGTGGAATGACGGAAGGAAGCTATTGAGATCATGAGACGCGGAAAGACTGAATATCCTAAAACGCGGAATGCTCTATTGTATGAAAAGAAATTCTCAAAAAGTGAAATTGTAATAAAATGATAACATTATTTATAATTAACAGGCGAAATCAAAAGAAGCATAGGTGATCATTGTTAGAACCCAGAGGATTGTGGAACCATGAGGCTTTTAATTTGAGCTAGCCCCTTAAAGATATTGTTATACAGCTAATATAATCACTATAATTGTTGTTAATATTATTATTTGTTACCATTTAACTTTTGGTTGAATATCAGTTATATATTCTTGAGTTATCTTTCTCATGTGGAACATGGACAGGGTACTCATAAATATGTGGGATGAAGTAGGTTTTCTGTTTTGCATATGAGACAAATATTGTGCAACGCTGCCTTCTAACGTCATTATACAACCTCTCTTTATTTTCAAGGCTAAAAAAATCTGTATCATACCAGTAGCCACATACAGTCTTTGACTACAGTCTTTGACTATATCCCTCATTTGAAGTGGGACTTCGACTAGGACTAGTGCCTCGCGGCGAAACTTTGTTTGGTACTCTTGGTACCAGGACTCTTCGTCCTGTTACTCATTTGCCTTCTGTCAAAGTTTACCAAAGTTTGAGGGCTTCTCTATGAATTTGTTTCCAGGTTTACAGAAAATTTTATGCAGAAAACTTAAGGAGAGGTAGGAGAAATGACACACACCAGTTTTCTCTTCTCCCTGAAGTCGGAACTTTGTCAAGGTAGGGAAGATCACGACGGCAAATTTTTTCGGAAAGTTCTTGAAATGATTCAACACTCGACATCTGTAGTATCATCTATTTTAGTGCGAGCCGATAAGCGTCCCTGGTTTATTTTGTTTGATATCTCGAACTGTTTGTACAAATCCTCTAATGAGTAAAAGCAAGTACTGGTTTCTATAATTGGAGGGTAGGCGCAGCGCTAGTTATTTCGAAAGATTCTTCTTTCCTTCCTTTGCATTCACTTCTTGTCCCGGTGCGGCCATTAGCTTGCTCAATCAAACTCTTTCACTAGTGATTTCTGTGACATGACCTCGGCCGATATTGTGTAAACTAATCGCAACTACATTTCTCGGCCTAAGCAGTATAGCTCTCTTGATTATGCACTTGAAATCTTAGAGAAGACTTTGTTTTATGCGCTTTGGAGGCTGGAGGGTTTCTGTCACCCGTTGAGTCGCCTAAATTGTATCCTATGTTGAAGTCGGCAATATTACTAGATGTAAATTTCCACTTATTGAAGCAACTCATTAGCTGCATGTAATCGCTTCTGAAAACATTGAATTTCGAAGTCTTATCAAGGTCTATCAGGTTGAGTATTACGTTTATTGAGGTGCTCTTGTCGCTAGATATTTTAATTTGTGCGAGACCCAATATTGAATAGTTTTTCACAGCTTGGAGTAAAAGTCGCTCGCATATCAACATTCATCCTTGTAAAGTTAATTATGCATTTGAAATAAACTCCAGTTTATGTCTATATAATTTCCCTCTGGTGGTTTCATTACTAAATTATTTTCTTTCCGTAATCCGCAGGTAAAAAAACGCATCGTGATGAGGTAAATATGGAATCCTATTGATCTTACGAGGATTATGTCTCAATATTCTCGAAAAGACGGCTCTGCCAGTAACAGGACTATCCCACATACACGAATTGAGGACGAAAGGCAGATAGAGGACATTTACGAATTTGGAGAAGTACTTGGAAGAGGGAGTTTTGGGGTTGTCAAGGAAGCAACGAACAAAGCAACGGGTAGTAGATGGGCCATAAAAGCTGTTAACAAGGAAAAGGTATGGCACAATGAAAAGTTTTATCGCCCTCAATCCAAGTGCAAAATGAATATAATTCCTCCGATATTATGTTAATGCTTTTTGTTTAGTTTCCGGCTGTTCACAATTTGTGATACAGATTAAAAATCTTAAAGGAAAACCAGCTGGTTCTGATAAAGGTCAGAGGTGAAATGTAAAATCTCCGTGGTTGTAAATATCTTCCTGGCTTTATTATTCAGTGTATCACCAAGCAAATTGTTCGTATCCTGGACTTTAATCAAGTTATTTCTCTTACACTATAACCTATTGTTTAGATGTTTAGCACGTCAGCTATCGGCTCTTACAGGAGTGGGAAGTTTATCGTTTTCATTTAGAACAGAATTGGAGTTAAACTATGCTTAATATTAGTATTTCTGGGGTTATAATTTTTTTTCTTTGAGAAAAATTTAATTTTGAATACAAACCAACGTTGTTCTCGAAAAGTTATTTACTGTCATGTCACATGCTTTTTGCAAGCCTGATTTACTAAATTAAGAAACAGTTATGTGCACGCCCTTTCTAGAATTTTCTGGAGCTGTTTTCCAATGGTCCCCTACTGAGGGAATTTATATCTGTGATTAGACTGAAAGCACTACCCCTCTGTGACATCTAAAAATATGTTCCATTTCAATATCCCAACCTAGACCATACATTTATTAGAAACTTTATTTACATGTATTATAGTCCAACCTCAAAACCTTAATAATTATATTAGTGGTATATCCCATGTAAAATTATGTGCAAAAAGATATCATGATCAAAACTTTGACAGTTGGTCACATTTAAACCTTTGACTGATGTGAATTTAGAGGCCAAAGGAATCCTAGTCCACTTCATATAAATTTTTAAAAATCCATAAGATACTTCAAAAAAAATGAATACCTAGAGTGCCTAACCTTCCTTTTCTTTTGAAAGTTTATACAGCCAATTATTAAGTTTGGCTTGTGGGAAACAGCCCTTTTTGGACTTGAATTTTAGAGACATGAAACAAAAGAGGATTAGTTAGCCTTAGTTTGGTGGGAAACAGGATTTGGAGTGAATTTTAAGACATGATAAAAAGAGGATTATAACCCAGGAGTAATTGATAATAGGCATGCAGAATCTGATCTTGTATGCTGATTTCAATTTTGTCATTTTTGTTTTATGAAAGTTGCTAAATTTAAAGTTTTCAGTTCTCTTTTCATCCTTCTGAAAACATAAATGTCTTGAATTTCCTTTTCAGTAGGCAACTAAGAAATGTGAGTTATTTTATATTTCTATAGGGATGTCTTTCAGAACACTCCAGTTCTAAGAGTAAAGTACATTGGTGATCAATATATCAGATCAACCCTTGACCTAGTGGGCAATTTTTCATGCCTGAATAAAAGATATAGACCACCTTTATTTATTACACCTCTTCAGTGCCGCACAAACCCTTTATATTCTAATATCAGTATGCTTATTCTCAATACTGTTTGGTCTACATTTCTTATGGTACTAATGAGAAAATTTTTTTTTAATATTCAAGAGCATTTTAAGGTGATTATCATTTCCTTTCCTCTGAAAAGCAAAATTTTTAAAGCAGTAGTGAATTGCTGTATGAAGATATTAAATACTAGTCACCCTATGAGGTTTAGAGGTGTTTTGGTTTGTTTCCATTTGATAACTCTATAAAGCTATAGCTAGGGCCTTTTTTTCAGTTTTTAGACATGGTCAGGGTAATAATAATCAAAACATTTTTTTTCCACTATAGGCTGGTACTTCTGCTGTAAAACTTTTGGAAAGGGAAGTTCTAATTATGAAAAAGATTGATCATGAGCATTTGGTTCATTTAGAAGAAATATATGAAACATCAAAGGTTAGTAACCCTAACCTTACCTTATTTTTTGCAATATGTTATTTCAAGAAATAAAGAAAATGGCTAATTATTAGGGCTAGTGGTGGGAGGTCAAAGCAGGCCTGTTTATTTCGGTATGTACCAATATATTCTTTCAACACATCTGTTAAAGATATTTGGCCCTGATTATCCAAATGTTGTTTATGTTGCAGTGATGGTGTTCATGTCAAGTGATCATCATCATATGATGAATAGGATTACCCATATGTCTGTTTTTATTTCAGCGCATGTATTTAGTGATGGAACTGTGTGATGCTGGTGGTGTACAGAAACTTCTCGAAAAAAAGACCCGGTTTACAGAAAAGGTATATAGTATATTTTTTCATACTTTTGTGCTTTCATCAGAACTTAAGGTCATTCTTTTGAAATAGAACTTGTGCTGTGATTTTTGTCCCACGTAACCTATTGGTTGTTTATCTTATAGGACCATAAATTTTGGACACATAGGAAACAATTCAGACAAATAAAGCAGTTTTGAAATTTTTATTGGAAAAACATTTAATTTGTATTGATTGATTTTCAGGAAACATGGACAGTGATAAACCAGCTTGCTCATGCTGTGGCATATCTCCATGACTGTGGTAAGTGGAGAAACAACAGGCCTTCCTTAAGAAATTGAGTAAAAATGAGTTTAACTTTTGTCATGTTATTAACGCATTCAGGTTATTTTTAAATCTCATACACAAGTAGCCACATGAGAATGACTTGTAACATACAGGGTATATAGAAATAGAGTTTTGAGAATTTAGTGATGCCCTTATTGCTTGGGGTATTTGTTCTTGGTGGATCTTTTTACAAAATTTTTAACATAATACTGGGATGCAAAAAGCTTACACTGACTTGATTTTATTGATGTTGATTTTAAGATGAAAAAATTGCATTAAGCTAGACCAACTGTCTAGGAGACTAGATTAAGTACAGTGGCTGTAATTGATTAGCAAGGAAAGCTCCCAAGACATTCAGAAAGAAAGACAAAATGGGATATAAAGAAGATTACAGAAAATTGAGATCAATGAGTTGATAGTAATCAAAGGCCTGTTGTTCATTTAGAATGATTAATTTGTTTGTTTTTGACTCTTTTTTAAGATATTGTTCATCGAGATTTAAAACTGGAAAATATTCTTCTTGGTCAACCTGTTGGTAATGAGTTGTTAAATATCAAGGTAGGATGAGTAAACAGTTTGGTTAAAAGTGTATCTGTTAGGTATAAGGGATCAATTGATTCTCCAGTAGTTATCTAGAAGTCTCCAGAATTCTGATTGCCTTATCTTTTTTTCATTCTAACATGGAGAATTCTCTTCACTTTAAACTGTTTTTCTGTTACTACATTTCCTAACAGAAATCCTGATTGATAATTCAGTGTCCTTGTTTGTAAATGCAAGCCTAAGCCAATAATAGTGGGCAGTTGAATGAAGTTTTGAAGGATTAATCCTGAAAAGGGGACAAATCATAATTATTTGTTAATTGTTTCACCTTGCTGATCCACCTCGAAGTCTTCTATGAGAGGGAGTTTTTTAAACCCAGTATAGATTGTGTAATTTGCAATTTAAACCAAGGTGTTGCTAATGTAGTATTACAAACCTTCGTTTAACATGTGCAGTAATTGCATCTTTTTTATCTTTTACAGCTTACTGATTTTGGCCTTTCATTTGTGAAAGGAAGTGTTGGAAGTGATTCAATGATGCAAAGTGTTTGTGGGACTCCAATTTACATGGGTTTGCATAATTTTTTCTTTACCTTTCTTTAATTGTAAATAACATTGTAGTTTTGAGTTACATTTAACTCACTTAATATTAGATAAGAAATATATGTTATTTGCCAGCTGGGAGGTCCATATGGTGAAAAAGGCTGCTATTTTTTGTGTAAGGATAAGGGAGATTTAAAAGGTTTCCAAACAAACTTTGAAACATTATTTTTACAAGTATCTGTCACAATCTGACACCTATCAATTAGAGAGCACGTAAGAAAAAAAAGAGCATAAGAACATTTAAAAAACAATGGAACTAGTTTAGCAAGGACTGTCACAACAATGTTTTCTTCAAAAACATTCAATGATCTAATGGAAAGTATTATTCACTCTCATCGATGATTCATTCATGTACAAAGATTTACCTCTGTTCATTAAGTAAATGGCAAGGAAAGTAATTGTGAGTAAATATTTTGAAGTTGTGAGAGTTTGCTTGTTTGTTTGCTGCAACGGTGTGTGTAAATCTGGTCTTTCCTCCACAAAAACTACATTCGAATGGCACACTCTAACGAGACACGAGGGGATTTAATGCGGCCTTTTCTCAATAAATTCCTTCAATTTCTGCTGTGCAATTTATGGTACAAATGTCCAAATTGAACAGACTTGGAAAGACTCACTGAGAGCATATATTTGTTGTAGAACTGAATTTAAAACTTTTAAAGCTTGCTCTTTTACAATGAAAAAATTGTTTGAGAAAATTCAGATATTAAATGAATGAAAGTTCCACCGTTCAGTTCAATTGTAACCAAATACCTCACGTTTTAACTTTCTAGGTACTTTTTGTGAATGATTAAAATTAATTGCAGACAGTTTTTAGGCCGCTTGTCAGCCAATGTAATGACACTATTGCTTCAACAAATTCATTCTGAAACCAATATTTTTCTGTCAACCAAAGTGATTTGAGAGAGAGAAAAGAGAGGATTCATAAGTTATTTATTGGCTTTAGGTAGTGACTTGACGTGTTTGCTTAAAAATACTGCCCAGCCAGAAAAACAAGATGTATTTATGAAAAATGGCAAAGAAATTTGGGATGTACTTGGCGATTCATGAAAGCGTTACCGTGGCCTGCGGGCAGAGATAGGAAAATACTGACTGGGTAAAGAACCTATCAGATTGCAGGATTCATTACCATGCCCTCTAAAAAAAAATAATATGAAATATTTTATTTTTTAATTGTAATAAGTAGATGCTTTCTTATTTGGAAGTAAAAAAAATTGTTTTGTATGTCATAAGTTTTTACTTTTATCAAATTGTGAATAGAGTTCAAGTGCTACTTGGGACAATTGTGCAATTGTGGAGAAGGTCACAAAATGAAAATTGTTCCTCTTTGTTGTGACTGTAGAGGGAACACACCCACTGAATGATCCATGCATGTGATCATTTTAAAACAGTAATTGCATTATCTTTGTGTTTCAGCTCCAGAGGTGATAGATGATCTTGGCTATAGTCAACAATGTGATATTTGGAGTATAGGTGTTATAATGTATACCCTGTAAGTTCTTTTACTCTCGTGCATAATGTAATTGTTTGTTTAAGTTTAGCTTTCTAAAACCCCATAACTACATGCAAGACACAGTATAAAGGAGTATGGATATTTCCTGGTGATACACCTTGTAACTTAGTCTTAAGGGCAAAAATGTTTTATTTATTTTATCTTTTAGTTTAACTGGGAGACCACCATTTGTGGCAGAAACAGAAGAAAAACTTTATGAATTGATAAAGAAAGGTGAAGTGGACTTTTCAGATCCCTGTTGGGAAACATGCCATGAATCTGGTAAGATTTAGTAATTTTGCCACTTATTGGATAATTTTGGAGTAAAGTCCTTGTAAGAGAAACAGCAGTTGCCCCTTTGAGACAGTCTGTAAATGGAGTGTTCTAAGGCAATTTCATCCATAGATATGTAAATTATATTGACTAGCACATAGTGTGAGAACTTTCCGAAAGGTACACTTCAGATATGTGGTAACTTTTTCCTCAACTTTCCAATTTTTTTCTTTTTTTTTGATGCATCAATTATCTATCCATAACCTGTTGTGTATTACACGAGTGTTGTCACTAATTTGGGGCACTTTTTTATTTCAGCAAAAAACCTCCTTCTTGGAATGCTTAAAGTTGATCCAGCTTACAGACGAACAGCAAAAGAAATCTTGAATCACCCCTGGATTACTGTGAGTAACCACAAACCACAACTCGCAGTAGCTGTTAAGTTGTGTATATGAAAGAGCTAGCAAGAGACCCTGGTCTTTGATTAGGTGTTAGTCTTCAGTTATTGCCTTAAAAACTATGAAGCAAAGTGCTTTGGTGCAGTAACACAATTGGCTGCAAACTGGTGGACATCTCATTGCCAAATGATGAAACAAACAGCTATGAATTTTTAGACTTAGAAGTACAAGATCTTTAATTTGTGATTTTTATACATGAATACCTTCTAGGGTGATTCTGAAGCATCAGAAACATCAAATGTTCTTGAACTAATGAAAATGTACAGGGAAGAGCTCAGACAGGTAAGATCACTTGTGTTCAGTGTTTGTAGATGTTTTCAAATATCTCAGTGCTTTCAACTTTAGTGTGTATTAGTGCAGTTATGATTTGACTTTGGGTTATGTTGTGTTTCTGGTTATGTTGTGTTTCTCCCAGTAGGATTGGTAAGTTTAGAGTAAGTACTCAGAAAAAGGTAACATGCTGTTGACATTATAGTTGTTTTCCATGTGTATTGTGATTGGTCAACTCAGCACACCATACCCTGCTGTGTGGCCCAGTAAAATTTATAGCTGTTTACATTCGTTTGCCAAACTCTTTGGTTCTTTAGCACCAGCAATTCTTAACTTTTGTGGGAAATTGAAAATTTGAATCATTTGTTGTTAGAGCAGGCAAAAGAGGGAACATACCTGTGGATTTGAATTTACCTGTTCTGCTTTTGGCACACTGCACCCTTATGTAGCCTTCAATTTATAGCCCACACATTGTATTGAAGGGGGGAATTTTTGTTGGGCAAATTGCAGTGCAAAATTTAAACTTGGTTTGTAAGAGTTATTAAGTGCTGTGTAAAACAAGATTTTCATCAAATGTAGTTTTTATTTGTTTAGAATTGAGTAGGCAGGATAGTGTGTATCAGAGTGTACAGGGCTTATCTTGTCTTTCATCCTTACAGGGCTCTGAAAGTCAAGAAAATTCAGAGACTAATAATAATATTAATTGTGAAATGGAAGATGGACTGGTGCCATCTCCTGGTTCTTCTTCAGAAAGTCCAAAAGAGGTATGATTGAGACAGTTATTGTGGGGAAACATTTACAATCTGCTTTTAGTCTCTTCCCTTTATGACAGACAGATACATACAGATAGCTTACAGTACATGCAACAAGGAAAAGGGAAAATAAAAGGTGTAAATGATCTTCCTTTACTTCCCAGGTCATATCACTTGCCGCCACCTTCATATTAGCCTTTGAAAAGGCATCGAACCTTTTCTTGAATAGATTATGTTGAATTTTTACAGGAAAGTGACAGAAAACAGAGTAACTCGGCTAAGGGTGCCTCTACACCAAAAAAGTCAGTTCCCTCAAGTAGCAGGAAATTGGTAGGTTGTACCCAAATGATAAATGATGTAATAACTGCTTAGCTTGTGTAATTTGTAGATACATTGTAGGAAACTCATTAGAAAGTAGGCACTTGTTGAATTTATATTCCAATGCATTGCTTCTCATTATATGAAACAAGTAATGAGTGATGCGTTAGTATAAGCCACGGATCAGGAAGAGGGGACATGGGCATGGAGGGGCTGGAGTTCCCCTTCTAGCCAAAATGTTAGAAAGCTCACCCCCCCCTCCACTCTGCACATTTCTGTAACAATGATATTGCTAGTGCAGCATAAAAGTAATTTGGCAGAATGTTCATTTGCATGATATTTTAAAATGATTTCATCAGGATCCTGCTTAGAAAAATTATATGTAATTGGATCCTTTTTGTTTGAACAGCTTTGGTCTGTGCTCAAGAAGCAGACCTTTAAAAACATTGTTTGAAAATTTGGGTAAGGGTATGCTCTTGGGTTAGTACATGGGATAAGCTCCCCAACACTTCAAAGCCCTCTGTCACCTCTGGTTCAACCTAGATACATCATTCTTCAGAGCTCACAAATGCATGTAAATGAGTGGCCATGCAGGGGAGAGTCTTGTATAGTTACTCCTTGAAAAGGGTTTCACTTTTTTTAGTTGCAGGTGAGGTCGAGATTTCATGCTAAGGTTGCTTGCATCATCCTTTAAACATATGTGACAAAATGATTTCAAGAAGTTATTTCAAACCTTAATTCTTCTGCCAAATTCTGATTAGTGAGATGGCAAAAAAAATTGATAATTACAAGCCACTTAACTGCATTTTTTCTTAACTTTTAAACCCGATGTGACATGATGTACTTACTGTTTCTTTGAAAGAGGCTAAATATTTAGGAGTGAAACATGTGTTTTTCAGTTAACTTTAATTGATTTGTTGATTTACAGTCAAATCAGACTCCACGTCGAGGAAATACAACCAATCAAATGGGGCCACCATCACCCCACCCACGAGACGCCCATAGCCCATCTAGATCACGTGACTCGCCTTCTGGTAGTGGCAAGTCAGTGCCTGGCTACATGCAGCCCACGAAAAGCTCAGGTGCTACTAAGGGGCCTGGGACTCCACGGACCAGAAAGACATCGGAGAAGAAAAGATGATGTAGAGAAGACGACGATTTATTAGATACTCTATTTTTGAAGATTCCACAGAGAAAATAATTTTTTTGTTCTATTTTCAATCAAATTCTGCATTGATTGCTCCTATCGAGACAAATAGTCTATGCAGTCAGAGGCCGGCAAGTTAATTTGTTAAGAAACGATTTTTCCTCAGTCATGACCAACTGTTTCTTGAAATGTGTTTTTTTCCCGAGAAATTTGGCCTTTGAAGTGGGAGCTTGGTGTATCAGAGGATAGCTCTGTGTGGCACTTCCCGCTACGCAAGATTGTGCGTGACAAAATTAGACATTGATAAGTCTTGGGGGTGAGAGTTAAATTTTTGTTCTGCAAGAACCTATCAAGGAACAAGGCTGGGGCGGGACATTCCACAGTGTAGGGCTTTGATGCATTTTACACGAGTCAGAGTTGATCAAGTACTGTCTGTCGGTCTTTTTTCCTATATTTATAGTCACAGAATTGACTGCTGGAAGGAAATGTAGGTGATCTTTAAAATACTTATAATTCCACAAATAATAAGATATTTTAGGAAGGAATTATTCAAGCAAGTCTGTTTGCAAGTTGTTACAACACTTAACAGCATAGTTGCACCTTGCTATCTCAGACTTTCAACTTTTGTTTGTACGAATTATGTCTCCCAAGAATTGACTACAACTCATGTAGTTTTTTACAACGTTATCATGCTTCAGGATAATGAGACGAAACTGTTCAAACAGATCACGTCTAGTGCTGTCATGAGTGGTACCAAAATTTTAGAGAAGTTGAACTTTGAAACGAAAACGGGAACGCTTTGAACCCAGGACCACCCTTTCACTTGCTTGAGACACTTCATTTATGGAGTTTGTCGCTATTTTAAAACGAATCAATGTTAAGCTACAATAAACACAACTTTGGTATGGCCAACTCATGATAAGCTCGAAGCTCAGTACTTAATGTGGAGGTTGATCTATTTTCACTGTAGTTACAGTACGTTTATATTTATAAATAATTGGTTTTATTGTACTAGGAGCTCGAAAGAAGAAACCCAGGTCTTCAACTAATGTACAGAATATTGTTTCAAAGAAGATTCTGTAATTTATAGAAATTCCCATTCGGCTCATTTTACGCAGCCTAGTTTTACGTCAATTACTTGAAATATTGTAGTGTGAACAATAGCATAATAAACCGGCTTCCAGGTCCACAAATTTTATGTGTCGTGGTATTGTAAGTTATCTTTGTAAAATTCATAAGTTAAGTGTAATTAAAATATAGTCCAAGTCCGTCAATTTTAACTCGTCCGTAAGTTTCTCATCCTTGGATTTGCCTTTCCAGTCGCTCACGAGAACAATTTGGTTTCCGTCTGGTTTCGGGCACTTCCTACCAATTTCTGACGCTTTCGTCCGTTTTCGGATGGTACCGTTCAATTTCGAACGTTTCCATATGGGGAGCCATTTGTGCCAAAACAGGAATCGCTAGTGATAGAACTCAATCGTAAGTGCTAAAAACGGTTGTCTGTTCAACGGTAGAATCAGTATTAAGTCGATGCCAACACTAACGATTGACGTTTTGCGGTAGCGATTTAATTTCAGTATCACAAACGATCGGTGGCAACACTGGCGATTGACATTGACTCAAGCGATGAAGGTTTAACATTATCGATTGATACTAAAAACCGGATGATATTTAGGGCTATCGATCTGCCTTTGTACTCTTTCCGATTTCGAAAATTTTCGTCCGATCTTAGAAGGGATGAGCGAGTTGAACCGCGTTGTAGCTAACCCAAACCTGTACCTCTTACTTCCTGAGTTCGAGGTCCGCGACCCGTAAACTTCAATACGGACCGAGTAAACGTATCTATGAGTTCAAACAGAGGACAGTGAGGAGAGAGATTTAAATTCAAACAAACCTTTGAATTTAGCAGGTCATGTAGTGAAATACAGCCCACTAAATTGACCAATCATAGCGCAGATACTAACTAAGAGATATAACCATGATATTTATCTGTTTTCCTCTACGAAATTAACTGAATCTCGCAAGAAATAAAATTTAGAAAAGAAGCTTCGCAGTGAATCATCCACCCCCATTTGGCATCATTCACTGTCAAAAGACATCGTTTAATGTTACAAGGCTTCGTTTAATGTCACAAGGCTTCGTTTAATGTCACAAGGCTTCAGTCACCAAGATTAGACATTCGTAGTCGTCCCACATCATTCGCCGTCATTTAACAAAACTGGCCATTATTAGACATCATTCAGTGTCATTAGACATCGTTCAACTTCACTCACTATAATTTAACGTCACTAGGCGTCATCCATTTAAACAGTTTATCTAACATCATTTGGGCATCATTTGCCGTTCGGAACTGAACAGAACCGTCCGAAAGCGAACGAAAGCATCAAAAATCAGTAGGAAGTGCCCGAAACCAGACGGAAGCCAAATTGTTCTCGTGAGCGACTGGAAAGGCAAACCCAAGGATGAGGAACTTACGGACGAGTCAAAGTTGACGATTGACGAACATTTCACATTTCCTTTTCGCTCCTAAAACATACCATTCAGAATACATAATACATTCATTTTGGCAAAGAAAAAAAACAATCCCTTACCAGGAGTTATAAATGTACATAATAACACTTTGAAGCTTAAGGCTTTACCAAGACTAAAACAGGAAAATTTTTTGTTTTCTTTTGTTTTTTGTGCGCAATATTTGTCAAAATTCTCTAGTGCTCTTTATCTATTTTTTCTTTCAATAATTGGACAGACATAAACTACGTCACAGCGCGCGCGCGGATCTTCGAGCAAAATTTCACCAAATCGCAGGTAGCATTCTCAGTTCCGTACAAAGCAGGCTGTGGTCTTACAAAACTTAAGTCATCAACAATCATCGTATAATTCATTGCATATGGCAGCCGACTAACATTTACATTTTGTGCAATAATCGGTTAGTTTTTAATTTTGGATGTCATGTATGCTCGTGTGAAATGTCTTGCAACTTTCCGTGACGCTTGCACAGAGTATTTAGCTCTAGATAGCTATCCGCTGAGTATCCCCATACTCCACCAGCTTTTATATTTTTACGATTTCCAAAAGAGGAAAGGGGATCATGATTCTTTCGAACATTTGTTGCATCGTGGCCTTTTTGATCGTCATTTGTGAGGTATCTTCTTTGTTTAAAGTTCAGTGTAGCTTCACATACGCGCCTTTATGTATCGTAAAGTTATTTCACTCCTCAATGTAAATTTTTATCGTAAGGAAATTGTTACGAAACAAGTCTAGTCAGGGGTGAAGGAAATTATTCAAACACAAGAAATATGAAGTTTAGATGGTTTAATTTCTAAAAGTGCAAGTAACTTCTAGAATTTTACTAATTCATTGTATTAATTGTGAGTTGTTTTCGTCTTGTTGTAGCATGACGATGTAAGATGCAAGTGTGTATGTCCCAAAGAAATCAACAGAACAAAGGATGTATTTTAATTGCGAGGTGTTTTCGTCTTGTTGTAGGCACAGTATGACGATGTAAGATGCAAGTGTGTATGTCCCAAAGAAATCAACAGAACGAAGAATGTATTTGTCAAAACTGTGGAGCCAGAGGATTGGTAAGTTTTTGTTGAAATTGAAACACTATGCAGCGGAGACAGTTTAATAAGACACGTTCTGCTCGTACTCCGAATGAACGGTAACCGAAAGTAAACTTGGAAAAATATGTTTCATTTGATGTGTGGGCAGCAGAGCACAGCTAGAATTCTGATACGACACCTGGCAAAAGCAGTGTTGTAGCAGCTTTGAAAGGATGAGCTGTAAATTAAGCTTAGATTTGTGGCGTACTACTTTTCCAGTGAGAGCTGAAATTGATTCACAAGACTAACATTGAAAAGAAAAAGAATCAAAGGAAAGAAATACAAAAACCTTATACAATGCATACAATGGTTTAGCACATAAAATGTGCTGATAGTTTGGGAGTTGGGTAAAGGTAAGGAAAAATATGAGCAATGAGCTGAATGTCTGCTTCTTTTATGCGGTAAACCATGGAATATTAAAGGGATTTATTCCCATTAAAATCCTGAATATTGAGAAAACACTGCCTTGAAAACTGAACCATCTACTGAGGGGGTAATCGAGAGCCTTTTATGTTCTATAGTTGACCAAGTTTTTGTCTGGGGGTGCCTCATTTTGGCATTGTAACATTAAATTCACATTCTCTGTTAAAGCAAAACAAAAATTAATGTCATCTGTATTTATGTTCTTTGCTTCTGTGCGTGTGCTAACCTAGATTTTTAGCTATTCCACTGCTGTATATTAGCTATATTAGTTATATAAGTAATTTTATTTAGGTCTTAGCATTTTTGTAATAGGTAGTCTTATATAGTCTTATATAATCAATGATTGTGAAAAGCACGCAATTCAGCCTATGGCTGCAATGTATTTTATTTGATAATAAACTATCTATCTCTCCCTCTCTATCTCTCTCTTCCTTTACCTTTGTGTCCTCTAGAATTTACTGACTTCTTGAAACTGACTGGTATATGTGGTAACTAAATTTGTAAAACATGGGTTTTAGTTTATGGGGTGAAGAGAGGTATGAATGTTTAACCTTACCCCATCTTAATCATTCCATGATCAAGTGCTTCCATGTGTAACATACCTGTGGCTATCTACTGAGGGAGAGTTAGCTGCGGAAATAAATTTTGGGTCTAAGGGTACTCACTTATCAATTTATTAATTCAGGATAATTATAGTAGCCATAGAGATGTATCTCTAGATTCAGGTTATTTTGTGGTGTAATTATATGGCTTCTGACCATTACAGCAACAATTATTTGCATTTTGATGTTTTTTTCTCTCTCGCAGCAATTGTGGAAAAGTTGTGCAAGGAGATGAGAAGTACTGCTTAAGATGCCGTTGTGAGTATGAAGCCAGGAACACGACTCTCATCAAGGTATAAATATTAATATGGTTACAGGAGATGTCTGCTTAAACATATTGATGAACTTGACATTTCTAAGAAAGCTTCTTATTAAGTGTTAAACCCAGTCAAGCCACTATTGGGTCATAACACTTTTTGAGTTTTTGGATACATTTGTCTTGTCCAATTTTTGTCAACTTAATTTAAACTTGATATTCCTTTTCAATGCTGCAAATATTTCCTTCCTTGATTTTTTTACTCTGTTTTCTTCTCCTTCATCAGATCTCTAGACTGCCTAATTTTTTAGCAGTATATAGTGATGTAGCTTGATTTAAATTTATCAGCAAACTCCTTTCTCTGTAGGTTACTCTGATTAGTTTGCCCATGTGTCCTGCGTAGGCTCCAAAACAGTTATTCTAAATACCAAATCACTTTCAGCTAGGCAGTAGCAAACCTTTTCTTAGATACATTCAACTATAAAATTTGTCAAAACATAGTATTTGCTGTATTAGTTTCAATGAAAGTTCAAATGGCCTTCTTGAAAAAAATGAAGTTTTGAAACCACAAGATCACAAACCACTTTATGCTACCCAACATCCCCCATTCAATGTTTCCCAGTCCCAGCTAAACTAAGCATGCCATTGGATATGGTGTAAGGGGTTCAACAAAGATAAATGGGGGGGGGGAGGGGAAGAAAGAGGCTCAAATAAGTATGTGTTTCAGAATGCTGTGATCTCACTGGTAATGTGTCTGCTGTTTTGTGGTTGTTTTGTCTTTATTTGGTATTGGGAAATGCTTGAAAAGAATATAGAGTAATTTATTGATCTATCCTGGTATTAATTTCTTTGCATGGTTAATTGCTTTCACCTTCAGGGATGTGATTAGAACTGATGTCTTATTAATAAGAAGAAAGTTACTGAGCCTGATATAAGTTGATTTTCACCATAAAGCCATGTTGATGCATTGAGGTTGTTCTCCCACCATACAAACGTGAAACAAATAAGTAATATGGTACAGGACTTGTGACTGTAACCAAGAAAAGCTAAAAACAGGGCGAGTTCGAATTTTATGAGCAGCAAATGCAATTAAGTGTAAGACAAAGATCAACCTCCAGCATGGAAAACAATAGGTAAAGACTTAACTGATGCTTACCTAGAACAGGAAATGTGAATTAAAGGGAGGGTAAATAAAAGCTAATGGTGACACACATTTGGAAAACATTTCACGTGACTTGCTTTCATGAATCAGAGAAAGGTACTTTGAGAGTAGAGTGTCTAGCTCAAGAACAAAATATAATGGTGAGGGCCAGTAGGCCTTATTATGAGCAGGGTAAATGAAATGTAGGCAAGGTTAAAGCCAAGTCAATACATTGACTTCACCTGTGAGATAATACAATAATAATAATGATGATGATAATAATAATAATAGTAATAATAATAATAAGAATGATAACAATTATAGTTATTCAGTTTATTTAAAAAGGGTGGCACCGAAGAGTTAAAATAGCTTATAAACTTGTGGCCCTCTATCTAAAATACAACAGAACTTACTAGATACTACATGTATGTTTACACAACTTGTACATAAAAATTAAGAGGTAATGATAAATTGAATGTTGAACTATGAAATGTCTGTCTATGCCAACATCAAACTACAAAAAATTAACATCTCTAAAATCATAACAAAAATACAATACTCAGTATTATAGGTGTATTAATAAAGTATAAAGTGTTGTAGTTTCTAAAGTCTCTATAAGAGAGTCCTAGGGTGGTTTGTTATGTGCTTTTGTTCAATTTCCTGTGCTGCTTTTCTTGCTTTGTCTCCCTCTCTCCTGTTACTTTTGGGTCAGTACTCATTCACACACTGTTCTCCAGGTTTTGTTTAGACAGACACCTTGGGGTGGGCTGTGGCAGGAGTGGAGGGTATTGCTGCCCCCTGTTATTATTTATTACTTTAAGGCATCAATCTTACAATACCACTACCATGGTGTTTTAGTAGGCTCTTGTACTACAGATTTATATTCATAGCAAATTACTTGCAGTGTACTTACATTTTGGTATTTCTTCCATTCTTTCTGTTCAGCTTTTTTTTTGTTCTGTATCTCTCTCCAGGTGGTGATCATATTCATTCTTGTTGTAATTGGAATTCTTTGTTTTTACCTGCTGTATTTGTTCATTGATTCCAAGCGCAAGCCTGTTGAGTTAAGTGTCGCAGCTGATGAGGTAAGGTGTACTTTCTCAGTTTGTTTACCAAGCTAGCATTTTTACTAGTGTATCGTTCGATACCAACCACACCCATACCTACCTACCTACCTACCTTTTTTCTGTACCTTGTGTCAAAGGCCTAAGATTGTTTGAATAGGACCTCAACATTCCCAAAACAGTTCTGACACAACCTCCTCTTCATGGCACTAAAGTTTGAAACCAGAGGTTTCAAAGTCAAAATTAAAGTTTAAGGTAATATTTGAAATAACAGTCATAATAAAAAGAAAATAAAAGTGATGAGGAAGCTCACGAGAAACCTTCAGGCTTTATAGTATTGAGTTCACTCGAAATTTCAGACCTATCATGATCAATTATTAAAACTTATTTTTTCGGATTGTTCGTTATTATTTCACTTCACGTATTTTTAGACAATGTGTCAAGGCTGTTATACCGAAAGTTTTTTTTGTGACAGGCATGAGAAATCGATTGGCAGGCGTGGGCTTTCGAAAGATTGAAGTTGTCAGTGACCCTAGGCGTTAGAACTGACAAGTACACCTCCCCTCTCATCCTCATTCTCGGTTGAAACTTCTGACCTGAAATTTCTCAATCTCACACTTATAGATACAAGAAACATTGCGTGGAAGAAGAACGAGAAGTTTGAGAAATTTTGACGAGAAGCTAGCAAAATGGAAGAAAACCGTTGCTGAGCAAAGAAGGAACATATATGGGACGAGAACCATGCTAAGTTAGATGTAATGTAAAGAAAGCTTTCAGATGTGCCATTAGGATAAATGTAATGAAGTGGTCGCAGTTGGAGTGGCCATCCTGTCGACGCACGCCTATCTCAAGCTCAGTTGCCAAAGTTTAAGTGTCTCCTTCTCATCAGTGGCCAAACTGAACTTCTCCTTACAATATCCATCTATTTGCAAGCAGAAAGCTAATGAGAAGTAACAAAAAATCAACGAGGGGATATCGTATGATTTTACACCAATTCTCAAGTCTTGAATCATAAAAATGTAGGAACGATAATTTCAAGAACTGATAATATTTTGGGAGGGAAAAGGTTAAAATACGAAGCGAGACGATACATTTTAACTGTTGCAAATATTGTTTTGTATTGTAAATAAAGGAATCTTTGGCTTTTGAATAAAAAGTAAGCACAGACTACCCGTGTGGGTTTTCAGGTATTCTGTATGGTATAACTGAAGAAGCACTCTTTCCATCTATTGTGTCCACAAAATACGCTGACATCTGACAAATGCATTTACTCCGCAGTTTCCTGATCACTGTTTGGAAGGCAAATTATGCTAACTGTGACGGAGAACAGCTCATATCAATGGTAACCCGTCTGTAGACCTGAATGACCTGAATGGCCTGAAACCAATGATCATACGCAATGATTATATCAGTGCAGTACTGAGAATATAAATTATTAGTTCAGGTTATTTTCAGATGTGTTGTTAAACTTTAATCCGACGACGACTTCTTTTGTATTCTTTATATGCTTCGTCCAGTACAGCGCCATTTGGAAACTTTTAGTATTCAACTGAAATGTCGATATGCAGAGATTCTTGAAATTCATATCTGGCTGAGATTGCGTGCTTTCTTAAACGAATCAAAAGTATTTCAACTCCTTAAACATAAACAAAGTGGAAGTTTAACATTACGCGACAGCCGCCACTTTCTCTAAGTCAAACAGGTAGTACATCCAACAAGTCTTGGAACACTCCTTGCAGCACAACTTTTTTTATCACGAGCAGACTGAGTGTTTTATCACGAAGCTCCGATGTATCACAGTTTCTATAAGATATTCACTGACCGAGTTCTGAACAACAAGCCCCAATTAGTTTGCAAAAGGACTTTGTTTGTCAAATATCTGGAATAGAAAATCCAGTTGTTGTCGTAAACACGATGGCATCAATGGAATAAGTTATTTGTTGTTGTTGTTTTTTATTTTACGTCAGGGGATTACTTTCTTTACCCTATGAGTATTGTTGGCCTCACGCTGTCCGAGCACTTGCTCAATCCGAACTCTGAACATGCCTAAGGGTTACAAGGTATATGAACTCTGAAAAAGAATTCGGGCGAAGTATTTGAAAATTTCAAGGTACGTGTTTTTTCTTTTGAAGACCATGAGTTAGATACAATGTGCGGCTGTTTCATTTTGTTTTGTCTACCTCTTAAACTATAGGTTTATAGGAAATCTGCATATGCATGTGTATGTGTTTTCAACATATGAAACTGGGATTATGACTACTTCAAAATACTTTACAACATGCCGTATAGGTACAGGCAGGTGTTGTAAAAAAAGTTTGCTCAGCTTTTTCATTAGTACACATTTCTTTTTCTGAGAATTTTGTTTATCCAGCCTGTGCGGAATTCTAATTTTTCAACCAAATTTTGTTATTTTTTTTAATATTATTAGATCTCCAAGTATAAAATAATTACATCAAATCTTGCAGATGTATGGCACTTTAGTTTTTCTCTGATCCTCCTAACATTTTACCATGTGAAAGGACTGGTATTGGCTATAAAAGTATAGTCAAATTAAAATTTTTGCCTATGCATCAAGTTTTTGTTATAAAATATTGTATCCTTCTTAAAACTAGTTTATTAGAATAAGAATGAGTTAATATGTTTCTAAAACCTTCAAGCAGTATCGTGACTGGCGATGCCGCAGAGACACCTGGGAAATTTGAGCCCACGTTGAACAGCAATGCGGCTATTCATTCAAAGATAAATTTGAGCGGCCATTTTGAAGTGTCATGAGAGGATTTCCTCGATCTTTTGGAATGGAGATTCGATAGATGAAGATAAATACTTGGTATGCTTTATTTAAATTAACTAGCAAAGTTTTTTGTCCGTATAGTCATTGGAGATACGCTTAATCTAAGATGAATAAGTTCGCCACTCGTGTTCTACGTTTCTAAGTGCTTCAAAGTGCTTCTTTCGTATTCATCAAACTACGTAACAGCATCGTAAAGAGTAATTTCTCATAAGCTTTTTCTCGAGGAAATTTGCAAGTTCTTGCTCCACATTGAAAATAACGTTGGCGATATTCATCACTTGTAAACAAAGTCAACGACTTGTTCCTCTGAAACATTTTCAAGGAATTCTTGATTGCTCGCAATAATCTGAAGTTCGTCATGTTACAAACCTTTTTTATCACCGTATTCAGCACTCCACTGGCTACTTTACTTACGAGAGAAGCCCAGACGGTTACTGATACTGTTCAAGGTTAGATACAATGAAGTAGAAAGTGAGATGGTAACGAATGACGTCATTGAATCAACAGCTCTCGTCCTTAAATGGTCATCCTTTTAGGATCACTGCCTCGTAAGCGATGCCCAAGCTCGTCTCATTGTAGTGCAAGTAAGTATTAAACAATTTCTTCTTTGGTATGTAGTTACTTACGTGTTACAACTGTACCTGTTGCATGTAAGGGTAAGACTACCTCTCTACCTGCTTTGTACGTAAAACGTTGAAGACATGTTGTAGAAATGATGGTGCAATTGCGACATAAAAAGTTGCGGGCAAGATAGCCTCGTGTTACCCGCTTGGGCTGTCAATCAGATCACGAGATTCGCCCACTCTTGGGGCCAGCCATATGGTAGAAATCTTTATATTGCTGCGATGCTACAGCATTAATTACTCTGGCCTAGTGGAAGAGTTGAGCGCGGATGTTTTTGTTCTCATGGATGGAAAGGGGTATTGTAAGAGGATAGTGTCTTGCTCATACCTCAGCCCAATTAGCCGCCTACGTCTGGATCCCAACTTGCACTCGAACCCAGGCTCCAGCGCTCTGGTATCCATTAGACCACCTGCGCTTATCTTACTGAACCCTTTGACCCCGAGTGATTAGCATTTGATTTCTCCTTTCATCATCACCTTTGAATCAAATAAAAAGGTCTTGAGAATATAGGAAATAGTCACCAATTTAAGAAGCTCCTGATTGTTAAACAAATTCTCCTTGTCTGTACAAAAGGAAATGTAAAGAGAACGATCAGGTAGAGATGGATAAGGCTGGTTAAGATTGAAACGGATTTCAAATAGTGAACTTGAAGAATTCTGGCTGAATTTTCACGATACGCGAACTGTGACTGCCAATGTTAGGGAAGAAATGGTTCTATTGCATTAGTCTTACGTAATTGGTGTCTGCAGTTCTTTTAGCAAGACCCGGAGCTCCGGCGGGTATTCGCCGGGTATTCGCTGGGTATACTTTGCCACGTCTAAGTTAAATTTACAGAACAAAAAGATGAATCAGTAATAAAAAGTAATAGTCAATTTAGCATTGGATCATTCATCGTATCAATTTCTGTAGGCTTTGATTTTTAGATTCTAATTTCATTCTTTCACTAGCAGTTTTTTTTTTCTGCATGTTTCGCGTGTTCTTCATAAATTTAGAAGTACATCGTCGGTTACTTATAATAATTTCTTTACAACTTTGTTTGGAACTAAAATCGTCAAAATAACTTTGAACAAATAAAACAACAGCAATTCTCTTCAACTGCTAGTTCGTAAATAAACTCGACGAGACGAGAATACTCCTGGAGTTTTTGCAATTAGTAAAGCTCGTGGAATTCATCGCCGGATAACTTTAATTTCACTCATTAAAAAAACCAAAGACAAAACACACAATATATTATTTTATTTTGTTTTTGTAGACTGCCTAACCCGTATAAACAAGTTTTGATAAAAATGATCGATATTGTCTTATCAAATACCTGGCGAAAAAAAATAAGATTTTGAGTTTCCAAGAACAGACTGTCTCAAAATTCGGTTACCAGTAACCATATGTCTAGCAGAAGAATTGAAAAATAAAAAAAACAGGATGTTGTGAATTTCCTGCCTTTCGTGCCTGCATGTCTTTATCTCTGACGTATGTGAGGTCTACATCGTTTTCTGTTGTAATCTTCAATTCTTTTCTTGCGTAATATTATACATTGTTTTATGAGCTTCAGTTTTTTTACGGTCTAAATACTAGTTTCAGACATCCCCCGTATTCCGGTTCCTGCCCAACAATTTCGTTTCAATTTCCCCCATAGTAAGTATTTTAATCGCATTTCAGCCTTTACAGCTACTTTGGTTCCTCCAAGAAGTGTCTGTGCGCGCTATTCGTTTATTTAGTTGTTCCTCCAAAACAAGGGAAGTTTTCTTCAGGGAGTGATTGAAAACTCTTGATAGTTATTTAGTATTGGTAATATCAATCAAAACAGGAAGAAGCACTTATGATGCAGATTTCTGTGTAAACTTAAACAGGTGCAAAAAAATTGGTACGTTCTTGGTTTCACTCCCATTTTCAGCTAGGAGTTAGTGTTATAAAAATGAGCTGTCAAAAGGAATCAAAAGTTTTCTTCTCCAACTCTTTTAATTTACTTCTTTTCATGACACGTGATGATTTGCTTGATGTCCGAGCCGCATTGGTTAACCGCAATACTTGACGAAGCACGTGGGCGAAAGGATTAAGTACCATTTTGATGAGATTTTAAGTACAAAGTAAACTGATAAAGAGACCTAAACAGACTAAAAGAAAACCGCAAATGAGCTATCTGACACAATAACGACACTCAACTGAGTTGTGAGGGGTGTGTGGGTGGATCATTTCATGTGACGCTTCGAGAATAATCTAGTCATTGCATCGTGTCAAGTATTCTAATGGTAAGGAAAGGGCGATTTTTTTTGTTTGACGTCGTTTGTTTGTTCTGTGGCGTTAATTTTACACGTGCTTCTGGATATTTAAGCGGACGGAT